TATTCTTTGTTGTTCTTTATATATACAAATATTTAGAATACAGCATATTTAAGTTTATTATTATAGAATTAATTTAAATCTAATTTGAACTATATAGCTTCATTCTTGTAGATAATGGAAAGCCTACAAAATCTTACCTCATCAGAAACGCACAATCCTCCATGTGAACGCACCAGATCAAAAGCTTTCTTCATGTAACCCAGGGGAAACTGAATTGTTCCTCCAACACCCTTACGATCCACAATTGGTTAATATTGTAATTTTGAAAATAAAGAAAGTTAATATGGCTATTGAAAGATGAATAACACAAAATTATGATGTACTATGATCATCATGATTAATGTTACTTTGCAGAATTGTTGACAAGTCTGTAGAAACCAAAGTGAAACAAGGTCTGACAAGGCAGGCAGTTTCACCTAGTTGCAGAGGTTTCCAATTCCAGATGAGAAAGCTCATTTTTGACCAAAAGTCAAATATAATCCTCTCTTATTTTGATGTTTTTTTTTGCATTATGGCTAATAATGGATTTAATTTACATAAAGACATAAGAATAAAAGGGGAAATGCAGAAGGCTTGTTGAACCATGTGAGGTAGCTCCTACTTATTCCAAACTATACTCATTACTTTTACCTTTCATTATTTCATTCTGTGCAACACTGTGCCTTGTTCATTAAGAAATTGCATTATAGCCAATAGTAAAATGACTAATGGCAAAATTGTCTCACCTGAATAGTCTCGGCAAAAAAAGCTGCAAGTTTTCCTTTTGGCAGAGAGTACGTGAGAATTTCTTCCAGCTGACCAACATACTTCTCTGCTGAGGAACATACTCCATCCACCAGCTCACTCTCCCTGGCTCGAACAGACTGCACAGGAGAGTCACGGTATCCACCCCATAGTCCTCCATAGGGATCGGGATTTGTTGCCTGTAATAGTTGTGCCTGGTATAATGCTATTATATTTTAAAGTACAGTGCAATGCAAGAAACGGAAATAATCTGTAACTGCACTTTAGTTCAACCATCACATTGTATTTTATTATATACAGTACAGTATTTCTACTTCAAAAATGTTGTAATTTTAACCACTACTGCATTATTTCAATTTCTTTATTATGCACTCCATACCCATCCCGTGGGTGGTGGTGGAAAGGGTTACAAATAGTATTTTTATTTGAATAAAAATGCCTTGTGTAGCTCAGGAGCCCTTTACTCAAAGTTTTGTCAAGGTCACTGGCTTTATCAAGAGTAACAAACAGACCTGACCTGCTATGAGGTCACCAGACCAAAAAAGCCCTGTTTATTGTTAAAAAATGCCCACCAGACAAGGACACTTAATTTATGTGAAGGCCTCTTCTGTAGCTCCTTGGGCTTACAGTGGTGCATCAATAGAGGCCAGCTTATCCTGAAAAGCAGAAAAGGCAGACTGGCTTACCCATGAGAGATGAACAGCAGGAGAGGGTGGTATGGAGCACCATACCACATAACAAAATGCACACAGGTGTGGCAAGACCAGAGGACAACTATCGAAGAATATGAAACCAAAAAGCCTCGTATTCCTCAGTGGGTTGGCGGGTTTATATACTAATAGGAGAAAAAGCATCTGTTTTCTGTCCTACATTAATTGTGGTTTAATGAGCTTGAAGATGTTTCCTTTGTATGCATTACATTTGACCTTTCAAAGAAGTGATCTGGATTAATATCCTCCAACTTGTTCAGTACAGTATTTAAAAAATTTGAATGAGATCGGTCCTGTTAAGTCTGGTTTGCAGTGTTGTTAGTCCTACGGCCCTCAACCACTCCTGGTTTGACAGTACTTAGCTCAGGCATGATTTTTGTCACTGCATTGAACTCTCTCTAAAACAGGTTTGTTTTTCTGAAGATGTCTGCCAGGTATAAGGGAATGGCAATACATTCCATGATTGGCTATGAATGAAAGTATTACCTCAAAAAGATTTTCGTTTTAGTGTTGAGCTCAGGGCAACACCATTGCAAAACGGCTATTAAGGCCACCACCATAGCCTAGTAACCAACCAGCAGGTATACTTTAGTCCTGAACATAGTCCACGACTAAAACTATCTGTGAATATTCACAGAGACACAGGGTACACCTTTCTGTATATATATTTATCTTCCTATAAAAAGGTACTAATTAATACATTTATCTTTAAGGTATGCTCAAAATGCTGTACAATATTAGTGGATTTATGAAAAATATAAACTAGCAGATAAACGCAGGTAATGAACCTACCAACAGTTACATAAACTTACGTGGTGAATACCAAAACCATTAGCAAAGTTGAATTTCCACGTTCCATGAGCAGTAAGCCCAGATGTATAAGGAGAGGCTCCATGATAGCAGTTTCTTAGTGACACTATGTCAAAATGTCCGGTGTACAGCCTGGCCATCATCATCGCTAGGTCATTGGCTTCAGACCCACTGTTTACAAAATAAACAACCTGCAAAATACAAGGAATGGTGCTAGCAACAGCACAATTACATGGTTTGTTGTGTATACAGCCGTGGCACAGTGGGGACGACCTTTACATGGTCCATGGGAGGACAGAAGCTGTATATGGAACAATGGATGATAGGAGCAGTACGTGGTATACAGTGGAGGAGCAGACGAGTTGTGGTACAGTAGAGGATCTGTGGTACAGTAGAGGAGCTGTGGTACAGTGGACGAGCTGTGATACAGTAGAAGAGCAGTGGTACAGTGGAGGAGCTGTGGTACAGTAGAGGAGCAAAGAGCTGTGGTACGTTGGATGATAGGGCCTGGATACAGTGGACAGGAACCAGAACATAATTTATGTGTATTTTCATTTGACTGAAATTTGTTAACACATGTTTCAGATACATAATCAAATGTTGAAACAAAAGGCAAGGCTTGCTCACATTTAGGTCTCCAGGAAGTGTCTGGACAAGTCGCTCCGCATATTCATGAATCTTTGGGTGTAGGTAGATGTTAGTCGTGTGCCAAAGTTTGTTCATCTGCTCTGTGGCTGCTGCTATTACTTTCCTGAAATGGAACCAATTGCGTTATTATTTCTCCTGTCTGCATATCACTTTGTAGTTGTCCACCAATCTTTGAAAGTTTGTGAATAAGAAGAAACCTTACAAAAAACTAACCAAGCTCATTGAATAATCAAATATTGTTTTTACCTAAATTTATTTGAGAGCCACCATCTCTCTAGTGGCCTCGATGGGGACAGGAAACCAGTGGCTTGTCAAAGGTTCCCATATTGTTCACAGATGTTTATTTTTCCAACAGAATTTTGAACTGAAGTAATGTTTTGCTTTTTACGTCTTTGGCGGGTAAGCGTTTCCATGATTTTATAACCCTATGGGTGAAAATCATATCTGTTTTCTGTCCTACATTGTGCCTTGTTGAGCTTGAAGCAGTTACCTCTTGTATGTGTTGCATTTATGGGTGTTTTTTACTCATAGGCTTATAAAAACGTGGAACCGCCTACCCGCCGACCGTAAAGGCCAAAATTCTGTTAGGTTTTAAAATACAACTGGAAAAGATCATCAGGGCAAATGGGGGAAGGGTCTTTTACACGCCGCCGGCTTCCTGTCTTCGTCGAGGACACTAGTATTAGTGACCCTCAGGTATATTTTACCTTTAATAGAAGCGGTCTGGATTAATATCCTCCAACTTTAGTATTTTATGTCTTAATGCTAATCGTTTATGTTTGGTTAGCAGTGTTGTTAGTCCAGTGGCCCTCAGCCGTTCCTAGTATAAGAGCAGACTTAGTTCTGGGATGATTTTTGTCGCTCTGCGTTGAACTGTGTCCAAAGCAGGTATGTTATTCAGTCTCCCCCCGCCCTCGGCCTCCTTTCACCTCTCCACCTTTCTTTCCCCTTTCTCATTCCCTCTCTTCAAACATCCCCCCCTTCTCCCTTCTTCATTCAACTCCCTCTCTTTTTTCCCCTCATAAAAATTATATAACGGAGCAGTGAAATAAGTCTACGGTTAACACAATCAATATTTCATATTAGCTATTTTGATCTAACTTCATGAAAATCGCTCGAGGGTTGAGGATGTGGTTAGATATTAATATTTCTTAAAGTACGGCACTGGAGCATACCCTAACTTACCTATGACACTCCCATACCACACATGTTTCTTGTGTGAAAGTTTGGTGAAGCCAGACAATTTGGCTAGGCCAAATTGTCTGGCTTCAAAATTTAGAGACAAACATCCTATTTGTATATCAAATAACCTCTACAGTACAGTATAATCTAAAACTTTAAAATCTTGTATATGGAAGTGGAGCTGCCCCAGATTTATATATGGCTTCGTACCAACATACTTGTATTTTAACCATATTAATCATTATAATATTTGTGCCAATTATTCCTAAACATGCAGGTGACATATATGCCAGTTCACGTGAACATATACTTACGGGTGACAGTGGCCAAGGCTGACAGTGACAATTCCACCGCAGAGATCCAGGTACCTCTTGCCAGTGTGGTCAAAGAGCCACTGCATGTAGCCGTTGTGTATAAGGAGAGGCTGTGAGAAGTGTGTGACGAGGGCGGGGCTGAGCTTGTCTCTCCTCACCGCCCGTAATGCATCATAATCGGGGCCCTGCACGCCCCAGACAACCCATTAACTTACAATTGTAATGTCTAAATTATACATTAATATATAGATAAAAAGTTAATAATCAATAAATATGAAAATAAAGTGCAAAATAATTTAAACAAATAACTGCAAGGCATATTGGTATGGTAAATTGGCATTTAATCATATAAAAAGAGGTTGGCGTTTAGTCCTGGAGTGTTTGGCCGAGACGGCAACAAAGTGTGCACCAGCATACTAGCTAACATGACAGATTGAGAGCATCAACACCTGGGCTGAGTAACATGGATGGATATGTGGCTCACTTTATAGGGTGGAGGCTGGTACTGGCACGGCGGCATCTGCGGTGCCTGCGTCGACGCCAGCCGCAGCAGCTCTGATGGAAACAATTATTAGGTAACTCAATAAATACCAATTAGTTCAGGCAGCAGTAGCTACGCCTGGCCAGCTGTTGACTCTCAGATGTCACCATTATTTGTCAAAGGCTCCCCCGCCCCCCCTCCCCATTTCTCCTAATTTTTCCCCGTGGACTTTGAAATGCAGAATTATCTTGGGGCTTTGGTGGGTGGGCAGTTCCATGGGTTTACACATCAGAAGATGGAGAAACGATGATTTTGATTGTTGCCGCCGGAGGCGGCTAGTTTATTGTGCACCCCCGTATTCATCCTGTGAGCGGTAGCGCAAAAGAATTACAGACGGCACAAAAGGTTTTTCTCAGACCTCAATAGAAATTGTTTATTTGTTGTGTCCGTCACCCTCCGTCACTATGAGATGGAGTGCGAAAAAATACGTGAATTTAGAGACAATTCTATAACCAATGTTCCAGCGATGTGTCAATATTTAATTCAAAATGATCTGCTACCAGAAATTTTAGCCAAATATCCCCAGTTTGCTAACTGTAGGTAGTAACTGAGTGATTGTAACCTATCCACCGCTGCCCACTGGATGGGGGGCGGTGTGCAGTACAAACATATCAATTGTGACACTAGCTCTCCACATATGTCAGTTGCTTAATTTAGAACCTGTACTTGAGGTCGACCTCGAACCCATTGTTGATGTGACAACTTATATTGAATTTTGTAACTAGCTCATCAAGATTGTAACTTGCTTAACTAAATGAATTGTGGGGTTCAGTCCCTGAGCCCATTATGTGCCTCTGTAACCCTTTCCACTACCGCCCACAAGATGGGTATGGGGTGCATAATAAATGAACTAAACTAAAAAAAAACGTCATTGGATAGGAGAATAGGTTTTTTATTCAAAATCTTTTTAGAACTTAATATCTGGGAGATAGTGGCCTTGTTTTCTAAATGTTGCCCTTTACTTTACTTTACTTTAATCTAATCTAATCTAATTATATTGCCGGGTTCGGCGGAGAGCCCCCCCCCCTTCACAATGTATATTTACACAAGTTTATATCAATAACTTGGAGATGAATAACTCAAGACGGAGTGTTTGGCACCAACAAGCACTACTAAGTCCATGTTGGTTACGTAAACCTCACCACCATCACTTTACTCCAGCCATCTTGCGAACACCCCCCCCCCCCGCTTTGTTTACTCCAAACCTCACCTTAATTACTTTAGGTGCTACTTGAAGATAATAATTAACCTCGCCTTAATCATTGACTCGCCCTTAGTTAAGGGCGAGTCCACTTAAGTTGGACTTAAGTGAGTGACTAGTAACTTTAGTCATTATGTACCCCATATCCATCCCGTGGCCGGCGGTGGAATGGGTTAGAGGAACAGGGGGTTATCTTCAAATGATTTCGGGGCTTAGCGTGTCCGCGGCCCGGTCCTCGACCAGGCCTCCTTTTTGTGACCCCCAGGAAGCAGCCCGTAGCAGCTGTCTAACGCCGAGGTACCTATTTACGGCTAAGTAACAGAGGCATCAGGGGAAAAGAAACTTTTTGCCCATTTGTCTGCGCCTCCACCAGGGAACGAACCCGGAACCTCAGGACTACGAATCCGAAGCGCTGTCCACTCAGCTGTCAGGCGCCTTCGGGTTCGAGAAATCTTCACTTGAAATTCCATCTTTCATCATATACGGTAATTTTTATATCTTTTTTTTAACGGCAGTTCAAATAAGATATAAAACAATTATTAGTGGCATTTGTATTTGTCATAATTGTTAGCAGCATATTGCTGTGTATACTTAAGCTTATTAATAAAAAACGAAAAGTTTACGAATGTATTTCTTACCCTGTGGACAGGGTAAATATATACTTTTTTAATCATTAGTCCATTTTTTCATACAACCCCTACCGCCAACAACCAAAAAAAAAAACAAATTGCGAGTGACAGTCATGACGCGCCGTACGTTAACTATCATTGATATATCACTCATTATTATGTTAGGTGACAACAATGGGTTCGAGATCGATGGGTATGGGGAGCGTAATAAATGAAAACTGTTAGGTGACACGTATATATAATACAAGTATTAACTTACGGTTGGGAAGGGAGAAGGTAGAGCGGAGTGGAAGTACCCACATGATAGCAGCTTGGCACCCTCGGCACCACTACAAGGCGGCACCACACAAACATGTTGACGTCACCTGCAACATCTCTCAAGGCCGTGTTAACATTGCTAAAATGGCTAGGCACTGGTTTACTTCATTTAACTTCCTTTTCTAAGGACTGTATAAACGTGTTCTGGGCATGGGTGGTGGCAAAAAAAAAAGAGTTAAAGGGTTTAAATTGAAGTTTAAAGAATAATTCAACAACGTACCCAGCTAGTTTTCTTATAGTGTAATTAGGGAGTTGATGCATGTAGTATATTTTGCTGTGGTCACTGGCAGGATGGGCGAGTGCCCACCATACCCGTCCTCCTCCTCGCACGGGTCACAATTTTAAATTCTTAATGTAATTTTACTTTATTAAGGGGCAAATTACTTTAGTATAGGGTCAATTATAATGCGCACGTCTCACCCTATGGTCAGTGGAGGAATGTTAGCGATACATTATCATGTGAACAAATGTGTAGTGTAATGTTACATTATCATATATTACCGCAAATGTAAATTACTTACATGACTTACAGAATATTGCCAGGTCAGTTCCTGTTATGTATATAATTCACAAGCTGACCTTGCAATATTTTTTTTAAGCTAAGTACACTTACGGTAATGTATAGCCGGGGCAAAGGAATTATGGGAAAAAACACTTAAATGGAAGCTATGACAAGATAATTGATAATCGATGTTGAGTTGCTGGGAACGGGAGGAGGTGCTAAGCAACTAAAAAAAAAAAATGTCCACCGGGATGGTGGTACAGGCGAGGGTACACACCGTCATCAGTCAAGGGCTTGTGTAACTCCATTTATAGCAAATCACAGCCCAAATACAGATATTGTCCTAGCAGCTGGAATACGATCTAGTCCTAGCAGCTGGAATACGATCTAGTCCTAGCAGCTGGAATACGATCTAGTCCTAGCAGCTGGAATACGATCTAGTCCTAGCAGCTGGAATACGATCTAGTCCTAGCAGCTGGAATACGATCTAGTCCTAGCAGCTGGAATACGATCTAGTCCTAGCAGCTGGAATACGATCTAGTCCTAGCAACTGTAAATACTATTTGGTCCTAGCAGCAGAAATATTATATCTGGTCCTAGCAGCTGGATTATTATTTTAGTCCTAAGAGCTGGAATATTATATCTGGTCCTAGCAGCTGGATTATTATTTTAGTCCTAAGAGCTGGAATATTATATCTGGTCATAGCAGCTATAAGATGTATCATGGAGCATCTTTCTAATATAGTACACAACTGGTATATATTTCTAGAAATTTATAAATTCCCATGTAAATGTGGCTAATTGGTAGCCTTAAGATGAAGTTGATTTCATCGTTTATCATTATTAAAGTACTGGTATAGTCAAATATTCGCTTCCAACAGCACAAGTTGCTAAAAAAAAAAAGTGGCTTGCCCGATTGGTTTTGATTTAATAGATACATGATATAACAGCATTAATGATTCGATTTGGTAAATTCGTAAGTAAAGATTTAATAGAGTCCAAACACAAAAAGTCCTGGGAAATTACTGTATATGACGATTAATAATTACATGCTTGAGATCACATTTAAATATGTGATTTTCCAATGAATTCTTCATTGCTTATCAATATCAGGGTATGGGAATTTATATAATTAGATAGCATATCCAGCTTCCACAGACGTTCCTTGTTTGACCTCTCATTTTAACCACTATATTCTTGTCTATTCCCCCTCAGAATACTGTAGATACCTCTGTACTCTCAACTTTCCTTTTGTGCTTCATAAGGTGCATATGTTAGTGCTACATAAGTGTTGATCTCTGTTAGCTACACAATTGTGATGAATTGTGTATTACACATACATTACTGATATAAAGGCATCCTCCATGGCCTGACATATCCAATTAGTGATGGGCAGTCACAAGGTCAACCCCCTTACAGTTGGTAGATTCAGCAACTTGCATGGATAGGCAGCACACTGTGCTCTAGGACATTAGTTGTACTTCTATTTTGCCAGAAATAAAATTTATAAACCTCACTAAACCAATTAAGCTCTTCAGGAATGAGTCCTTAATCTGCCTTTGCCACGTCATAAGGGGAATAATGGATGACCACGAAGAACATAGCCGAGATGTTCTAAACATGCACGAGTTATCAACCTAGAAAAACCACTTGCTGTGCATGAGTAAGGCAAATGGATGTACTCAAGCATTAAACATTGTTGGTGTGTGTGGACATACCCATATAAGGAGTCACAAAAATGCAGTACAACAATATCATTTTTTGTATTTCGGTGTTTATGAAGACAATGATATAGAAATACTGTATAGAGTAATTGAAAATAAAGTTGTCTTTTCCCCTGAAGTGACAAGATGACTGAAACGATGTAGAAATAAACTTAAAAATCCCTCATTAGCTCAGGACATTATTAATTCTGTTACTTTATAAAAATTGTCAGAAGAAAAATGTTTACCACGGGAAGGTCTTCAAACCCAACAAAATAGAGAAAAATACTTACCAAGGTACACAAGGCATTTTTATTTCAGACTGGTCATAGTTGACTGATTTCAACATAAATAACCAGAATTTAAGTTGAAGATTACAATACTGTATTGTCATTAACATTGGAATGACTGAGGCCAAATTTCACAATTTTAGTGTAAAAAATATTTCCAAGTTTCTAAAGCCATTAAAAATAATAAAATTACAACTATTTTGTATTTGTTCTCTATGGTGGTTTTCTTTTAAAATATTAGTATTTTTTTAATTAGTTTATTTATATATACAAACGTTCTTACATTCTTGTAAAGCACTAGCATGCATAGCATATCAGGCAAGTCCCCAATCATAATTTTTTCCCCAGAATACGACCTGCCAAATCGTTAAACAACCAGGTACCCAATTCATTGCTGGCAGAACAGAGGCTACAGTTAAGGAGTGGATCCCAGTTTATCCTCCTTTGCTTTTACGCACCAGGCCAAAGTGCTCACCAAGTGCCGAGCGAGTGCTTTATTACTACGCCACAGGGACTACAATGAGTATAGTATTAGCAACATTCATTACAACTACACATATATATATATATATACATGAATGCACTTAAAACCATATAAGATTTGCTTGCTTTAACCAAAATATTCAATTCAAACATCAATACCGTTGTATACGAATGTTCTTAAAACATGACAATTTGAACTAAGCCCTCGCACAAATTACAAAACATAATATTACATTCCCAATTTGCCAGAAGATATATTATGAATCATATCTTGGATGCGCTTCAGTTCATTAAATTTCCTAGTCATCTCTTCCAGTTCTGTCTCCTTTGCTGACATGGCTTCTTCATGACTGCGTATCAGTAATTCCAATTCAGAGTTCTGGTAGGTAATAAAGAAAATGCATAGCTATTTAATTAAAGCAACGATAATTCTAAATATTGTTTATAACAGTATACAGCACATATTTCATATGCATGCTAGCAGTACATGTAAAAGTGAAGTGCCAATATTATTTACGTTTTCCATGATAGATTACTATATATATATGAACAATCAATATTTTTGTCTCTGAATTTTATCTATCAAATGAGGTGTGTCTCAATTTACTTCCACACTGACAGTCCACATGCATTTGCTCATTTCATGCTAAATTCTGAACACACACACACACACCTGAGAGTTGCACTCTCCAGAATCTAAAAATTTATTTGAAAAACTCCAAATTAAAATGTTGGTTGTAATTCAACTATGCTAAACAATCATTTGAAACAACCTGCTTCAATCATTACTAATGGAAATGGGGGGGGGGGGGGAGCCACTTTCATCACTGTTCTTGTCTCTTTCATTATGCTCTTTAGAAAGAAACGGCTTTTATCATTTGGTTTGGTTTCCTTTTTACATTACACCATCTCCTTTTTCTCTTACCCCTCCCCCATTTACTGATGCCAATTTAGACTAATTGCTGCTAATTTTAGTGGAGCATTACCATTTTCTTTGTTAATAGTCCAAGATGGTTTTAAGAATTACTGTTGTGGATTAGTATAGTAACAGATTTTTACCATGTAGCTGGCCAACCAAAACAATAGCTGCTGGTGACAAACTGAATTTAATTATTTACACTCATAAATAGTAAACTTTCAACACTTACATGATACTTGTTTAACGGTAACTAGTCACTATCTCAACCAGACCTTTAGTTGGTCAACATATTACTCATAACACTATATAGGCTGTTTTTACAAATATCTTGTCTACAAATTCTACTAAACTATACATAAAACTAAGTATTATTTTACCTCTTTCTTTAGCTGCACTGTCACCTTCTCCACTCGCTGGTTCTCCTTCTGCAGGTCATCATAATCTCTTCTCCCCTTTTTAAGCTCTTCTTCTAGCTTTAGATTCTGTTCTTGCATCTCTGCAATAGGTACACATGTAAATAACTGTACAGATATTAAGAGTTAAAAGCAGACCTTGGTGAATGAGAGGAGTGAGGCAACAGCATGTCTAAGATGCCTACAAGGCAAATTATTGCTAAAATTACTGTCACAGCTATAGATATGCAACTAACTTGCGTAGTACAAAAGTAAACAGAAGGGTTTTAAATGTCAGCCACTTCAGGCAGGTATTTCCAGCCCCAAGCCAGGAATCTTCAATACAAATACTATACATACTGTACGTATATTAAACTACAACATATAACAAGAAGAGTACGAGTGCTTACCTATCAATATCTACAGCATATAATGTCATGCCCTCTCTGCATCACCACCTAGCTCTTTGCATCTAGTGTTAACAAATCTCCTAACATTCATATTAATGTCATGTTTGCTCTTACAATTGTGGATTGAGGCATCTTTAAAAAACCTATTCTTTAGTGCATTCATTTTAAGTACTGTACCCCTCAATATATTAAAAGTACAATACTGTACTTAAATAAATTTTTTGAAACTTGACTGCTTTTCCAACATCCACTGGTGTTCCGTTTGCTATATTTTCTCAGGTTAAACAAGCTGTCCATGTCCACCTTTGTTCTCCTCAGTATGTTGTGCGTGCTTCTTTAACCTCTTAATTACTCCTTATTAAAAATGTTAAGTCTGCCTCATATACAGGCATACCTCAGTTTAAGAGTTTAATTGGTTCCTGGAGACGCCTCGTATTCCGAAAACTCGCATTCCGAAGCTAATTTCCCCATAAGAAATAAAGGGAAATGAATTAATCCGTTCCTGACTACCCCAAAAACCCCACATCAAACTAAATTTTTATACCTAATTCATCTAAATAAACCTACAAAACTATGTTCAAGTTATTACTTACCTTGCTGTTGAATGCTGTAGGCGTATGGAAGATGGTGAGGAGGTGGGAGGAAGAGAGGAGTTACTGTTTGGAAGGGGAGTCCCCTTCCATTATCACATCAGGCAGTGAGGACTTCACTGGTATGCACACTCTGCCACATTTTGCCTGCATACCACTAGGACTTGCTTGTTTTACTAAGAATTGGTCTAATGACACTTGTTTTTCCCTACATTTTAACACTTGTCTGTAGTAAGACATCACATTATCATTTAAAAGGTCAATGCAACGGCCTGCTGCAGCTTTATCTGGGTGAGTTTTTTCAACAAAACTTTGTAGTTCTTCCCATACTTCACACATTTTCTTAATCAAGAAGGGACATCCTCTACTGCCTCTACTCACAGCTATTTTCTTAGGTTGAACCTTATCAATGGCTTTCTTGAGACCCATGGCAAGATATATAATGACAACTTTTATGCTCAAATGGCCAAAAAACCGATAAAAAACTGTAAATCCTTGTGAAGAATTCAGGTGGGATAGTCACTGGACACGAGACACTGGTAAACTGAGGCGCAATTGCCATGCCACCACGCGCCAGTCGGCCTGTACACGTATCAACAAACTCGCGTCCCGAGGTAACCCTCGCCTTCCGAGACATATTTTTGGAGTAAATCCTGCTCGTCTTCCGAAAAACTCGCATACAGGGACACTCGCATTCCGAGGTACCACTGTATCTGGAAAGTAATAAAATTGCTTTCCCCTTGAGTAGCTGTTGGTGCAGCTGGTGGGTCCATAGCTCGTGCTACTGGAACTTATTGTTCTGAGTAGCTTAATCTAAAACAACAACAACAGCTGATGGGGGAGGTGTTAAGAACTGTAGAGGTTATGTTACTGGTTGTTGTGGTGGTAGTCATGACTGGTTGAGGTCAAGGAAGTGGCGATTGAAGGTGTGGAATGTGGATATGGTGGTTGCACTGTGCTGTGGTGGTCATCACACTCGCACATACTGTAACCCCGCGATTATCCGGGATTCAAACATCCGGAAAACGCCCTTATACGGCCAAAATCGTGATCGGATAAAGTTATCACAACATCCGGCCAAAATGGCCACAGGAACCGGATAAAAGCTGGTTTGGCCGGATGAATATTCGGCCATACCGTATTAATCCCGTCTGTGGCTCTAGACGCATGGTGGAGGAGGGGGTGGGGTGGGTGGGTGGTGTTGGGAGGGTGGGAGGGACCACCTGGGTACAGGAATTACCATTAATTTTAGAACACTTAATCATAGCCAAAAACAAATGAAATAAGTACTAGTAATTATGTAATAACAAATAAATAAGTTTCCTAAAAGTAATGTGCACAGGCTGAAGTTTCCTTAAAAAATATTGTGATTTTTTTTTCCTCCTGGCGGCCTACGTAAGGTGCTATAGCTGCCCCACCCCAAGTGGACCCGTCCAACACTGGTCAACCCATGTGCGTCCGTCCCTTGTGTTATACACAGTGCTGCGCCATTAGTGAAATATTTTTTTAAATAACTTTTTTATTTTCATAGTAACTTTGAACATTTTTGGCCAAGACTATGTCTGGTAGCAGCATCAATCGTTCTGGAGGTGTTAAGAGGAAGAAGGTTGTCCTAGCAATTAAAGACAAGTTACGTGTTGTTCAACCAGTGAGGCGTCACAGGCAAGCCAAGCGCCTTCAACAAGTGAGGCGCAAGCAAGCAAGCGCCTTCAACAAGTGAGGCGTCACAAGCAAGCCAAATGCCTTCAACAAGTGAGGCTTCACAGGCAAGCCAAGCGCCTTCAACAAGTGAGGCAATCACAGGCATCAAGCCAAGCCAAGCCTTCAACAAGTGAGGACATGCAAGCGCTTCAACAAGTGAGGCGCCTCACAGGCAACCCAAATGCCTTCAACCAGTGAGGCTTCAGCAGCTGGCAGTCAAAACTAACTTTGCTTAATGAACTGTACAGTAATTTTAAGTGTTAATTTTAGTGTTGTGTTAGTATAGGTTACGTAAATTGTTAAGAATTCTTAACTTCAAGATGTGTGGCATCAATCAAGCAGACGAACACCAACAAGGTAAGTTGAGGTTTCTAGTTAAATATTTAATAATTATATGTGGCAAGGCAATTCAAATTATGTTGTTTGTAGTATAAAAGTAGTTGGAAATTGTCACTTTTGGACTCGTAGGTGAAAAGGTACCATTATCCGAAAAATGTGATAATCCGGCTGGGGGTCCTTCCCATATAGTCCGGATGATCGAGTGGAGACAGTACTATATTATTAATTCAGTGTGTTTTAATTTACATATATAGTATATTTAATAGTACAGTACATAATAGTATGCTAAACACTAACAAAATTATAAATAAGTTAAAATTCTCACTGTGAAATTCCCTCGTCTGTAATCAGTAACTTTAAAATTAAGGTTTAATTCATTGAATTTTTTAACCCAAGTTACCTAAAATCCTAAAAGTATAAAATAATGAAATTACAAGAGCATGATGTATCTGAAAACAAAATTGAGGCCATACGAGCTCTTCATGTTCAGTCTGTAGTGTATGTGGCCAGGAGTCTAAAGATGCACATTCAAACCCACCCCCCCAACCTATACAGCCTCAATATTTTCAAAACAAAAGTATAACATTTTATAGAGTACTGTGTTGGCTACTGGAAATGACTTCAACATAAAGTAGAAATAGATGTGTAAATTGGAAAATGGTTACTTTTAAAGTGGTCAATTGGGCTTCAAATTTATGACAATTATCACTATCAGAAACTTACTCTGATGTTTTTCCTGCTCTTCCCTGATTTGCTTGTTCAGATTTTTATTCTCATTGTGAGCATCGCCCAACTGTCGCTGGAGCCGACGAATGTTCTCCTCCCGATTGTCAAGATGATCTCTCAGTGCCGAGGCTTCCCTCTGTAAGTCTAGTGCTTGTCTTTCCATTTCTGTTTTCTCCTAGAATATATTAAGAAAAATTACCTTTCAGCTGCCCAATACAAATTACTGAAATGTCTATCAAATTAGACTCCATCAATTACTATTAAGAATAATGATGAAGGTTCCAAAGCTTTAAATTAGTCGAACATTTACTTGACAAGGCACTCGAAGGTATGTATTTTCCTTGTGTATAAATAATCTAAAGGATTCACCAAGTAAGATTGTACAGCTAAAACTCACCTTACGGAAATTATCTCTAAGCTGTCTAGCAGAGTTTTGTATCTGTGAAATGCTTGACTGCACATCAGTTTTTTCTCTTTGAGCTACTTGCAAACGCTCCTCCCATGAGCACAGCAGGCTCCTCAGATGGTCATTCTGGGTGAAATAATAATGTTCATGGTAATTAAAAGTGTAAATATATTAATGGTGCACAATTTATGTCTTAACAGTCTTAACTGTCTACCACCTTTTGCATGCATAATTAAACTAACTTAATATTACAAATATTGTTAATTTGTGTTGTGCAATCACCTTTTACTTCAGTTATTTTGAGAGCATTCAATATTCTTATGTCAAACTCTTCAAAGTTATTTTAAAATAAAAGTTATCCTTACCCCTTAATTACTTTTCTCTACCAACCCCACAATCATTACCACCTTTATTAAAGATTCCCTTTTCCATCTCTCACTATTAGAAGGTAACGATCACCTGATTAAAATGATTGTAAAGGACATTAATGCCTGCATAACCTTACAATGCACTGAATTCAACAACATAAACATTTAAATAATCCCAATAATTTTTGTCTCCCTCTGTATATTCATACAAAGGAGCTTCTATCCATTTCTGTGACACAGGTTTTCTAAAATCAATTGCATATTAAATATACTATATATAACTAAACATCTTTGTACTTCAAGTTTATATACCCTATTTCTCTGCAGGCAGACCAGAAGTAATGCCATATTAAAAATCCTACACCACAGGATCTTCTGTAATATAAATCACAAAGATAAAACAATATAGTTAACATATTAAACAAGGTGTGCACTCACCTGTACTCGTGTTTGCAATAAGGAGTAATGAGTGTGACGGTTTTGTACATCTGCTGCAGTTAATGCATTTTGCAATGATGTCTCCACATGGGCCATGGCTGCCATTTTGTATTCATACATTTCCATTATGTCTGTCAAGGCACAGTCCTTCAGCTGAAAAAAAAAGGGAATTTTGCTTTAGAACTGATTATTACTAATGATATGACCTCTTTCACATTAAATATAAAAACTTGCCTATTTCTGCAACGGGCCACCTGTACTTTGCAGATGCTGCAAATCTATCACGAACATGTGTGATGTACACCAAATCATGCCTCGTTATTTGGGTTTAATATACACGTTACAGAATTACAGTACCTTTCAACTCACAAATCAATTCTGCCAGCCATATAAATGTTTCTTAAAACAATAACTATGACATGAACGAGTAAACATTTAACTCCCAATTAAATACTGACTATATATTTTAACTCCTTAGTTAAGTATCAACACTTCAGTTCATTTTTGTTTTCCCAATTTTGCAGCATCATCTCTTAGGTTAGCCCAAAAATGCCAAGCTTATACCAGACTCAAAATTTTCTACTTTACCCTCTTTTCCCTCTACCTGAGACCAGGTTTTGCTGATAATTATATTATCAAATTACTTTGACGTGTATATGCTCCAAAGCCTTACCTCCATTTTATCAACAGTACCCCTAAGTCGTGATATCATCTTTTCCACATTTTCTTCACAGCCTGGAGAGAAAAGCTGTGGATGGCACCAAGACCCGAAGAGTCTTGTCTTGGAATCAGATTGATCAAAGTTCAATGAAGGGTTAGAGGAGGCATTAGCTTCTTCTAATGCCTTTATTAGTGCACCCACACTGAAAGATCATTAAAAGAAGTTACAGTATAAAGTACTTCAGATTAATCGATAACATCTTTACATAAATAGTTTCTCATGCACAGTGCAAAAGTTTTAGAGAATCTTCATGAAACATTTCAATTAATTCAGTTCCACATAATTTTACATTTGGTAGCATTATATATAACTTGTTTTAATAAGACATTTTAGATTTAAATTAATTTTAATTTTGGCATTAAGCAAGATTTGATTTTACAAAAGCTGTGCGTATACCTTTCAATTGGCACTGTTCCCTCAGATATAATGGTGACAGCTTTGGCCACAAGCTCTGGGGTGTTAGATCGTTGACATCGAACCAAATGGGTCATCAGAAGTGGATTATTAAGCATCTATTAAGTAAAAATAATAAACACATTAAAGAAAACATATACAAGTTAATATAATCACAAAAATTTATATGAATTTCATTTCTGCTCACTTTGCCCCATGTTTTTTATAAACATTTTGGCTGTGAATGGTCAAATGGTTCTGGCTAAAATCAAGTGTAAGATACTGTATAAACAAACCTATTTGTGGTACTAATACTGAACATAACTGCAACAATGATTCAACTCAACAGCATCTCATAGCTGATGATGAAAGCCATTTTAAAATACTCACATATATGTTGTACTGGTTGTACAAGCGAGGCAATCAAATATACATACATATACTATCATTACCTCTTCTCCCACTTTCATTGGATGAGCAGGAATCAGAAATGTTGCACCAGCTAATTAATGCTATCAGTAACTCAATAATAGATAATGAATAACTACAAAACTTGCACAATTAAAAAAAACTTCAGAATTTACCTGGCTATATTCTAACATAAATTCTGCATTCTGTGAACCGAGAAGTTTGACCACTGTGAGAATAAGAACCACTGCTTGTGACACAGTCTCCACAAAGGTGCTATTCAGGTCATTTCCCGAGAGGATCGAGATATCCTGGCTGCTTTTGTAACTGGACCCACCATATCTTCAAGAGAACAAGCAGGTTCAATAAACAATCACTTTCCTTTCGGGACACTTAAATCTACATTAACCTTAATTTATGTAAACAGTATAATAAATGTTGCAGTTCATCTTTTTACTAAATATGTATTACTGAATATTTATTTCTGAAATCATTACTTTGTATTTCAAGGATCTCACTTGTCATAATACTATTTTGAGTACACACTATGCCCAACACTTTTAGTCTGGAAAATAATGGTTAGAAATTGAGAAAAAGCATTCAAACCATGGCTTTAGTAAATGCAAACTACAGTGTTATAATTTCATGAAAGTTATATTCTGCCTTTAGGTGCATCTCAAAAATAAAGGAAACTCATATTATTTCTGCATTCTATCTTTTGTACCCACATTCTTATTAATTATACAATACAGTTAAGGAAAATGTTTCTATTGGAATAATCTATCCAATTTATTTTTTAAGTATTATGAGGCAAAAAAACAGCCGAGGCTCACCCACACCAACTTAAATTTACTGTGGGCTTCTTAATGTACTCCAAGAAAACTGAATAAAAAATAATTAACCAAGCTTATAAACTCACCTACTGGCATTTGGCTCAAAATCAGAGAAGGACTGCAGTGAAGTACTTCCCGAAGATAAACAAGGGATATCAGTACTCATAATTTTCCTCAAGAGAGACGAGAATACTGATGGCTGAAGTTCAATTGCTAGTTTCAGCCGATAAGCTGTATCACGAATGCAGAGTCCTTCTAACATTGATAATGTAGCATTGATATGGTGAAGTCGATTATGGTTAATATTGAAGTCCTCGTCAAATTTCAGCGACTCCTGCAACAATTTTTGGTTGGCGATGGAATTAATGTTCAGAACAGTAGTATTTATAATTTGCAAATCAATTTACAACAGTAATTTACTGTACAGTATATATTTTATGAAGTGCACTAACAAAGGATGACCAACATAGAATATATGTATAAATAAAAATAAAAATAAAAGTACTTACTGCAACTACACCTATGAAGTTGTCCAGATTATCTATGCTGACTGACGAGTCACCCACCACAGTTATGAGTGACTGTACAACTTTCACAGCTGCTATACCACTCCGCTCTGAATGCATCCACAACATTGCCCTAATACAAAATATTTATCTTAATACAAATGCAAAATACATAACAGCAGATTTAGAATATAGTGCCAATGTGGCATATAAGAACAGTGAAACTAATCATATACAGTATCATTAACTGTAGTAAATACTAGTAGTTAAGCCTGGCCTCAGACCGGGCTCGGGAGTAGGACTCGCAGAACCCTCTCCAGGCATGTTCCAGCTAACTTTTATATTTATGATCATATATTTTAGATACTAATCCCAGTTCAAAAACATTAACGAGCAAATAAAGGATAACTGGGAGCATCATATAATAAGCTTTTTTAATTCATTAATAGTTTATATTTAACACCTTATATATTGTAATATTCTAGAAACATAGTTAACTGCATGCATAAATATAGGTTACTATGCCAAATTGTTGACAACAATTGGAACTCCATTGTAGAACTTGCTTGCAAAATATATCCTTATAGAGAGGTCGTAGCTCAGACTGGTCCAGTTCAATAATGTAGTAGAGGAGATCAAGCAGTGCTTCAACAAGAGACTCGGGGCTGTTCTCAACCATGCCACTGATCAGTGGTTGTAAATATGATGTGTAGCTTTTGTACCTGAAATATATCTTGATGTCTAAATTCGTCATTTTATTTTGTTAATACAACTGCTAATAAATTGTCAAGTTACATCATGGATACAGCTTAAAGCATGCTTATAAACCAGAGAATTGTATTTTCAATGTTTAGATTTAAAGTATTTGTAAGTACAAACATTAAAAAAAATGTTTATAAACAAACTTCCTAAAATTAATCATTTATCAAGGAAAACTGAAGATCATTAAAAACACTAGGGAACCTCACTCTCTTAGGCGGTCTTCTACACTTAGACACGACACAAGTTCCCCAAATACATCTGCAGCCAATCGAAGCCAAGAAACATTATTTTCCATAAATCCTTCAGTTGCTGCAGTGAAGACCAAGTCCAAGATGTGCTCGGTCTGCAAGGTAATGAGAAACAAAACATCTTTAGAGTTCTGTGACCGAGATAAGAGAAAACAAATAGAATAAAGATGTTGTGAAATGAAGTGAATATCAAATGTAAATCAAAGCACAGAGATGATATGTTGGTACAGTATGTGGAATACCTGTACATTTTATATATTTTTAAATATACAATATTAGTTTACTTAGAATTCTCAAAATGTGCTTAACACTTAATAAGAATGCTTATTTTTATTCTTTAAATTATGTAGTATAATTTATTTTATTTTCTAAATTACTTAGTATGATTATATAATATAGAAAACTATGCTCCATTAATACTTTGCCTGATTGTAGCTCATGATGGATAATTGTGACATGCTCTTCTACAATTATTACAAATGATCAGCTGAAGGACTTACAAGGTTGAAGTCACCATCAGTTTCTTTCAAGTCCAGGTAGAACATTAGCTCAGAAGCCAGAAGTTTTATGTTGATCGTCGCTGTTTTCATGTCAGTCAGCTTCTGTACCAGGGCCTTTAATCATATTTAAAAACATTTTACTTATGTGGTAGTGATTTTATATAATACACAAATACTGTACCAAATAAGCACTAATCTGATTCCCTGTATATCATATAGAAATAATACTTTATCTTATTATAATATTAATTTAATAGAGCCCCCACATGTTGAGTATGGATAAAAAAAAAACACAGCATCCTCCAATTCAAGATGAAAATCTTTAAGACTGTCAACATGCAACCCATCCTTCTAGAAGATGGTACTTACAGCAACTATTTGGTCAAATGCACAAAAATGGACTGTTGCAGCCAACACTACATGTTTTGTACAAATAACTTTGTGGGGGGGATGGGTACATACAAAAACTTAAGCATACCTAGGCCTAGTATAGCATGTACTGGTACATAACAATATTAATTCATTGTGTCAGGAAAAATAGGCAGCCAGAGTGTATATATACATACATACATTAGGCTTATATCCAGGTTCCCCCCTCCCCAAGGTCGAATCACCGACCCCCCAGGATGCAACCCCCACAACACGCTGACTAACTCCTGGGCACCGCTTCTATAGCTTCTCTATTCATAACACAAAGAACTGCTTTCTCTCTCCTACATAATACCTTTACTTTTGTCCACATTAACTTGTAAAGCCAACAAACAATGTGGTGAAGTGGATGACATGTGGATCAATGTCGGTTGAGGTACATTTATGTCTGGCCAGTAACTAATTGGGTGACGACACCCAATTAGTGAATTGGATGTCGTCGCCACCCACGTCCGACTCATGCGAGTCACCACCCACGTGGCGACTCGCATGATCTTTCCCTCAACTAAGAACAACTTGATAAACCTGACACACCACCTGTTCCTGACAATGGTATATAATGTTCATCTACTTTACATAAATCTCTCATTCTCTGGTTAAAAACTGCATCAAAGTAAATAAATTCATTAAATTACCTTGTTGTTACCCAGACTGCGAAGACAGGAAAGAACTGGCGAGTTAGACCTGCACAGGTTGGCAAGTGTTGTAAGAGCCGGCACTAGGAGTTCATCACCACTGTCTCCTTCAGTGATGTGGTTTACCAGGTATGGTACTAGCTTAAGCATCCATGCTTCTGTACGTAATATCTGAAGAAAATCAGTCAAATATTCTATAATAAATAAGAAAAAGTCTTTCTCATATATACATCAACAAAATCATGATCATTCAATTGAATATATTATTCTTATTGTTCATACTAATTTCTGGTAAATTTTTTTCCACTAAATAATGCTTTGAGTCAATATGAAAAGCTCCTCTGAGTATAATCCTTTGATTGATCTCTAGAGAACATATATAATTATCAATGGAAGGCATCAAGCCAAGAAGACTAATTAGTATGGTTCCTAAGGAAAGGATCTGCCTTGTCATATTACCAGGATCTTGCAATGTCAGGCAGGATGATGCATACACTAACTCTTTGATAGTGAACTATGAGGGAAGTCAGATTATATATAAGTACATACCTGTACTGTACATGTATTTACGCCATAGCTGTGTGTGTTTCCTTTTATCATAATCCTTACACCAAAGTATCATTGCAAACATTTACATATCAGACAATTTTGTGCAATATGTGCAATTTTTTTCTATGCTAAACACCAAGTGATGAAAATATGTAGCAAAGAATCCATCAGTGTGCAGATGTAATATTACATGCAAAGATTTGGTGCTCGTGACATTTTCATACTGCTCTGTGTATTTTTTGTGAAAAGAATAATTAATACTCGGTGAAGGAAAAATGAGAGGTGGCTAACACAATACGAACCTTTATTTTATATGAAATTTCTTCAATGAGGCTCAATGTCTTGAGTGACTTGTCCTTGGTAAGTTTTGCGTCGACTAAGAAGTCACTCAATATGGGGACAATCTTAATATCATCTCTATTGAAGAAAAAATACCATATTAAATAAGCATTCATAATTAGTAAAACATTAGATATTCAAGATTATTTTTACTGCCAATCAAAATACTGTACCAGAGGATTTTTTTTTTACAATTACTTTCTAGTTCTGACTTTTGATTAAGTCAGAAACTTGTTATTTGAATAAATTTAAACACTCAAACTGTATTTTTGAATGATTTAATAAATCCAATGAAATGAGAGATGAATTTCCACTCCTGTCTTCATGAGACTGATGATAATCATAAAAATCCTATACAAATTCTATACACGGGTTAAGAGAACATCTCTGCATCATTCTCACCTGAGAGCTTCTCGGATTGACCGAGAACGGGAAATATGAGCAAGAAGGATGATGACTTTCCATACCACTGGCGATTTGGCATCTGACGAGTTGAGAAACTGTTCTAGGCACACATAAAATTCTAGCGTCTCCACACATGTCGGCTCAAATATGCTCAAGTCAGTCACCACGGACAAGATCTGCAAGTTCATACTAGGTAACAATTTAAATGCTTGGAAAAAGAAAGGTGAACAAAAGGAAATTGCAACTGTATGGTATATATCAGCATGAAGACGCTAGGAACAAGTTAAAATTTGAATGATGGTGAGGACTCAAGTTTTCAAATCCCTTCTTCTAACTACAGGTATTGTACATCTGCTGGCTTGTATACATTATATAATTAGCTTTTAATCCCTGACAGGCAAGTGCCTCCACACCCTATGAATAGCAAAAATAACTTGCTTTACAGCACATTAACTTGCAGGGTACCAACTCAAAGTTCTATAATAAATCAAAACCTGAAGTAACAAAGTGATGAACTATCCAAATCAACCGTATTATAAAATAAAATTATAAAAATAATGTCAAACCCATTATTACATTATTAAAAGCAAATGTAAATTGTAAAAAACTAGCAAAAATCTTTATTTGAAGCTTGCTTGTAGCAATTATGCACTAATTTATAGGCTTTTGTAGATTAGCAGTTTTATATTTCATTGTTTTGAAGCCACTTAATTATTTAAAACTGAGGACAAATGTGCAAATAATTATTTATACCACTTTTTTTTACCACAAATTACTGTAGTTTGAATGAGCATTGAAAATTTACTGTTAGACACCATTTTTTTATTTTTTTCTAAAACAATTATTTTTATTTGAATGGTAGAAAATTGGGAAAGGAAGGCATACTGTATATTTACAGGTACAGTAATCTAACTGCCTTACCTGAAGATGGCGCTGAAGCTGAATCAAGTTTTTGTCAGTTCTACTTCGGCGGTAGTTATAGGCAATGCTGATGAAGTTCTTAATTTGTGCATTGGTGCTCCCCATACTGCTCTAGTACTGACACTGTCAACGATGAGAATGTATTAAATCTATTAATTACTTCATATTTATTATTCTTACTCCATTTTCCTACTTATTAGTATTGTTTCAAATGTTCACATTAACGGGCAGTGGCAAAACACTGGATTAGATGTGTATCTATAAATTGAGTTTTACCATCTAAATGCTACCTAACCCAGTTGAACAAGAATTTTTAATAAAATGTTTTATAATGGTATTATGTACAGTACTAATAAAATTCAATTACACCTTCTCAATCCTAACCTAATAATGTTGATTCTGAGGTCGTATGTAACATACATCTCCTCTCTACATCTCCTATCAGTCAATCTTCTCAGGGCCTCAACGATCTAAACACACATTTTACTTCATTTACAGTGTTTCCAATATATCGTGTAGGGGTTCATGGCAAATCGACCCACTTGTAACTCACTCCTAGTCCAGATTAACCAATATAACCATTCTGCCACTCACCCACAAGGTGAGTAAGAGGTCCATAAGAAACTAAATAAACTAAATTATCCCCGTTGTGTTAGGGATCTTGGGGTCACGGTAATGTTAGTTTGACCAAAGTTCTTACAGGGAAAAATAAGTGACTTCCTTTTGCCTCGTGCGTTGCTTTCCAGTAGTAAGGTATTCAGCACATAGTCGTGACCAAGGTGGTATAGGTTGTCGTTGTCTGTGGGTCAGAAGTGGTAATTGAGAGCAAAGTTGGTGAAGCACGGAAGTGCCACTGTGTTTTGAACTGTTGTGGTGAGAGGCGCGGTTTTGCCGCGCATGTGCAGGGGCAGCGTTGCCACATCAAAATTGCTGAAAGTAGCAGGTTTAAACGTAGCGCTTTTGTAATTAAAGTAACATAATATTTTGTTTAGCAGCCGATATACGGTTTTCAGATCAATATATTTTAATACATGGAGTAACACTGCATGATTGTATTAATATTATCACTGCATGTATATTATAAAAAAAGTGCGATAATTGGATTACATGAATATTTGCTGCATGAAGCATAATTTACCTGGTATATGATTCTGCTTGGAAAAGCGGAAACGTTGCTGTATGGATGACAACTGGTTGCGTGTGTAACAAAACGGGGTCATAGTCATAGTAGTCATAGAAACGGCAGCCTTCAATTAACCTTCAAGATATTTTCCCTAAGTTTTCTAAGGCAAAGGTCAAAGTTCCTGAGCCCATTGTTTGTGCCCCTGTAATTTTTTCCACTAATGCTCATGTGATGGGTATAGGTTGCATAATAAATGATCAATTAATTATTAATAATCTTAAATTTTGTGAACACGCAAATTGGATATACAACGATATACTAATAGATTTATTGTTTGGGTCATTGTAATTGTATCGTCCCGTTTGTGGTGTAAAATATACTAATCAATAATTTTTTGTTGGAGGCAACCAGCTGACTCTGTTTACAAACATCGGTTTTGCCCTTGACACGGGCGGCACTATTTATCCTAGGCGAGAACTGGAGATAGGCTTTGAATTGGGGAGTTTAAAAATTATAGATAATGCCAAGTTAAATACCTGCACAATTACTCAACCTTTCACTCATATGCATACTAATTATGAAGCATCACGCATATATATGTGTGTGTGAAAAATAAAAACCAGATGTCATTAGCGACCATGAAATATACAATAATATAACGAGCCGTAAAGCAACATAAAATAATATATTTAGGTGAAAACAGTACAAAAGCAGATTTATTACTATTGTGAGATGCTAATGATGTCGATTCTTGTTAGTGATTTTTTAAGACTTTGGATGATATCGTCATGCATGGATCTCCCGCTGTGGCCCAGGAGAGAGTGCCCCGGGTCGGAGGTATTGTGTACACCAGTCACCAGGCGCTCGTGTTCACCTTCAATTTTAATCAATTTTTTTTTTAACTATGTTGAGAAGCATCATAATTTTAATTATAGTTGGACTGTGGCTGTCAGTGACAGCGTCACTGACACCGCTTAAGGAACTCACTGATGATAATGGTGCCTGGTTAGCAGATGACACTTGGGACTACGGGCCGGATGTTGGACAAGACAAGACCAATGTACATGAAGGCAAGTCAGACTATATATAACACTAGGTGGGCTTGGTCTTATTAAATACTCGTCGGACCTGAACATAGATTTAATTATTTAAGTCTGCGACATCTAGTTCAGTGTTGGGTACTTGTTTTGTTTAAGTAATTTTCCATGCAGTCCTCGTGGTGCAGTGGTAAAACGCTTCCCTGGCGTTTCACGAGCGCTTTAGTCTGGGTTCGTATTCTGGCCGGGGAGGTTTGACTGGGTGCAATCCTTAACTGTAGCCTCTGTTCACCCAGCAGTGAATGGCAGTACCTGGTTGTTAAACGAATTGGTGGGTCATATTCAGGGAAAAATTAGGATTAAGAATCTGCCCGATATGCCATGTGTGCTGGTGGCTTTATATGAATATAAGAATTCTTGCATGTGTAAATAAATGACAAAATAAAAAATATGTATTCCTGTACAGTATTCATCTTTTAAGGGTCTCGGTAGGGTTCGTTCTTTACTCACAATCGAGAATCTCGGGTTCGAAACCCGGGCGGGATGATGGGGGTACCTTTCCTTTCACCTATTTACTGCTCACCTAGCAGTAAATAGGTACCCATTTAATGAAATCACATTAACACGATGTATCAATAAGAAAATCAATCAGTCATGAGTAGGATTCGAACCCACTCACATGATATTTGCAAGCTAGTGCCCTGTTCCACTATGTTCATTGTGTATTTGACGAGAAGTGTTGGAGGAGAACTACTGGACCATTAGCCAGAGTGCGTAGATGCAATTCTTGAAACCTTGATTGGGCTTCAGTTGTAAGCCACTGGAATCCTAGAGGGTTCAGTGGAATCCCAGGTTGCGTTGCTTTTGATCGTGTCATGGCGTGATGGTCTAGGGTGCTAGCTTGGGAGTACCAAGTGAGCGGGTACATGGTTCGTACTGATTTTCTCATTGATAAATCACAATAAAGTAATTCCATTGTGTATCAATCATATTATTACTTCATTGGTATATTTCATAATACAGTACTGTTGAGTTTGTAATAGATCAATGAGAAGTTGCGAAGATGGGTTTAGCTTGCATGTTTCTGCTCCGATCTCTCACACTCAAAAACTCTGGTCACGGCATGGTGGATTATGTGCATGTATCTCATTCAGGTTAAGCGCTGCTGATTCCAGCAAGCAACTGAATGGGTAACAGCACAGACATCCTTATCCATGGTTAGGGGGATCTTAATATGCCTGACAGACTTCCTGTCTTAAACAATGTTATTCCAGTAACATACATTACAATACAAATATAAGAAATATACTTTGAAAGAGGAGCCCTTTAAGGAATCAAAGTAAAATGGTAAATGAATATAAAATTTCAACTTTAATTGTGTGCTTGCTTTGACAGGTACATTCTGGCAGATCACAGACATCCACTGGGATCAACAGTACAGCGAATTTGGGGATGCATCCAAAATGTGCCATGAAAATTATTCTTCTATAGAACACAATGGAATTTATGGCAATTACTTGTGTGATTCTCCTTGGCCACTAGTCAAGAATGCCATAAACACTATGGCTGAAATTAATAATAAGCCAGATTTTATTTTATGGACAGGGTAAGTTTTATTGTGTCATTGCTAAAATTATATTCTGGACTTTTTGTAATGTTCCCATTAAGATATACAATGTAATACTGTACAGTGTGATAAAAATACCAACATTTCTGTCAGAGTGCAAACTTCCTTTCACTTGAACAAATCCACAAGGACCATGTTCCTTTCACTTGTTTTATGGAGAAAAATGGCTTCACCTGAGCCCTATATAAGGCCTACTCATAACCAGCTTGACCACAACCCCCATGCAAGTTGTTGGTTTCCTGCAATCATTTCCCTCATCCCTCCCTATTGCAATTTTGTCTCCACTTCCACTAGGCTGTCATGCATGAAGTCAAGGTTCCCGCCAAACCTCCCCATCGCACACCCTCTTACAAGGAATGGAAATTATGGGTCAGGGACCCCAGTTTCCATGCCCTAATTTCCATTGTATGGACACCCACCTTTTATTTCTTACTATTCTACATCACCATTACATTTGTCTAACTGAAAGACTCCTTAACTTCACATGGCTAATTCATCACTTTCAATATACTGTATATCCTAGGAAATTATTCAAATCACAAAAGTTCAGTGCAAAAGCCAACATAATTCTGTCTGCTACTTAATTGTCACCAACACTGCCATAAATATTTAATTGAAATTTGTTACCATGTTAAAGAGTTACCCTACATAAATGCATTGTAAATTAGTTTACAACAAAAATTGTGCACTGGAAAATTATAGCAAACCTCTCTTACTATTTGCATATTTACTACATTATAATTTAATAAAAAAAATTGAAGTTTATTCCCATCTTGAAGTCATCTTGAAGTTTAATTTGAATCCAGAAATGGTCACTATAAATTCAGTATTATATTATTGTATTATAATTCATTATTATTCAGTATTTTATTTTTTTAATGAATGCTCTATTACTATACAGTACATAGTAATTTTTTTTTTCAAGATTAAAAAAAAAAAACACTGCTGCTCTTATGTTCTTACTCACCTTTACTTTTACTAATTGAAAAAGGTGCAAAGACATGTTACTAAGTGGTTCCCAGAACTGAAGCACGTGAGCTACAAGAAGAGGTTAGAGGCTTTAAATACAGTATGCCAAAACTAGAAGACTGACGAAAAAGAGACAATATGATCACTATGTACAAAATAGTAACGGAAATCGATAAAATGTATAGGGAAGAATTCCTGAGACCTGGAAATTCAATAACAAGTCATAGATTTAAACTATAAACAAAGCTGCCGAAGAAATATAAGAAAATTCACTTTTGGAAACATGAGTGGTAGACGGTTGGAACAACTTAGGTGAGAAGGTGGTGGAGGCCAAAACCATCTGTCAATTCAAAGTGACAGAGTGCTGGGAAGACAGGACACAATGAACGTAGCTCTCATCCTGTAACTACACTTAAATAATTACAAGAGAATAAAGTATAATAATAATAGTACAGTAATGAGAATGCAACTGATTCATAAGTATTCATCAATATAGAGCAGGGCAGGGAGGCTCATGCCGGACCTTTCCCCTTCCCCATCATGCATAGAACATTGCCAAAAAGTTCATTGGCAATTAATCATTGTAATTTTACATTGTCATGATTTTTACTGGTAATTAATTCCCACTGTCAACCAATTGTCATTTATTTACAAGTGTCAATTATTCCATTGTAATTTATTCTTGCATTGCAATGAAGCATGAAATTGGCAATTTCATGCTTCAATTTTCTTAATAAAATTTGGCAATTTTACATGAAACCATGTAAAATTTGGATTGGTAAAGTTATTCTATTGTAATTATTGACAATTTCTATTAAGTTATGCACATTACCATAGTTGGTACATTTAATTTCTATTTGTTATTGTACAATTCTAACTAATTTACTTTAAAATTTAATTAATTAATTAATATTCCCATTCCACATCTGAGTTTCACTTGACCCAGAAACAGTAGTACTGTATATAACATACAAGATTTATACTAAAGTTTTCCGTGAAGTCATCATTGGCACACGCACATTCATTACAAATACTGTATATATTTTAATGTAAAAACTATTATGTTAATTAGAAGTCAATAAGATTTGGTTGATTTTGCAGCAGTGTTGAGTGATTAATGTTCTGTATGACTACAGCATTACATGAATTGCTTGTTACATTGCAGGGATAATGTTCCTCACACGAATGATCCAGAACCAAACTTCACAGTAATATTCAACACAATCAGTAATATAACTGGAGAGCTGCGCACTACATTTCAGGATTCTGTTCCAATCCTTCCAGTTCTAGGCAATCATGATGCTTTTCCTAAGGTTGGTTAGCACTTTATTATAAAAATATGGTGTGCAATATATTTCTATATACTGTTGTTTGTCAAAATTTGTTTAAAAATAAATACTGTACAATGCTGTATTAATATTAATAAAATTCTCTACAATGTACATGTAATATTAAAATATCAAAGGCTTACTAATGCTATAGATTACAGTATTTTTAAGTGAATCTGAATATTACTGTAAATTATTTTTTTGCATCATGTTCATGGTTAGTTCAAAATAGGTTAATCTTGGCTAACAGGCTTGACATAGGTTACTGTTGTATTCGCAATTTCTTGTCTCGGTTAAACGTTAGGCTAGATTAGGTTTGATCAAATTTCTATGTTTTCACTCAAAAAAATCATATACTGGATAATGGAATGTTTTATCATTCTATAAGAATAAAATTTTGAAAAATATGATGACCATCATATTATATTTGAAAAATATCATGTTTTTGGAAAATTCAGCATGTTAGGCACTTGATCTTAAGCACAGCCTATATATATATACTTTGTGTGTGTGAATCATATTTGTCATCAAAATGACAGTACTGTATCATGAAATATTCTTGTTTCTTTGTTAAACGATTAAAAATATTCTCAGGACTATTTTCCGGTTGCGGGAGAAGAGTTTTATGGAGAGTACTTAACAAAAGGAGGCTGGTCATCTGTGCTGCCCAAGAGTGCACAACTGGAGTTCAGGCAGGGAGGTTACTATGGATATGAACTTCCCACGGGTGTTACTGTATGTATAATACTGTATCTTATCAAATCAGTTACACACACATTGTTATAGTTGTTGTTATAGATTCAGCTACTCGGAACAAGTTCCAAGTAGCACGGGCTATGGTAAACCCGTAACTTACCTGGCACAGGAGCGGGGCAAGAAGCACGGGCTATGGTTAGCCTGTACACGCACATGTTATGTCTCCATTAATGCATTAGGTATAATGTGTGTGTGAATCTTTTCAGTTATTATAATAGGGATCTTTGTAAAAATATAGGTGCATTATATTACAGTAAATAATAAATATGGATAATATGTACTGGGAAGAATAATATGAAAATATATCATAATTTTTATATGTACAGTATTTTGGAATGGAGTGCTATATTTAAAAAAAATTGTTTTTAATAAAGATTTAGTGGTAGATTTGCTTCACATTGTTATTGTTTCCATGTTGCAGGTGTTAGTGCTGAACACCAACCTATATTATGCCCCTAATGCACTTGGTGTAAACGCAAGTGACCCTTGTGGACAGTTTGCATGGTTAAGGAAAAGACTGCAGCAAGTTCAGGATAACAACTCCATGGTTGGTTTAATTAATATTCCATTTGCTTCAGTTAAGTTTAATTAGATTAAATTTTCAATTGTCTCCAAATTCTAGGTTTCTTCAAAAGTATGTTGGAAAAATCTGTTTTCCGGAGGGGAATGATGTGAACTCTTGGTCGTCAGTTTGTATGTAAAGGAAATTTTAATCATCATTCTATTTTTGTTTTTAGTACTGATGCTTATAATATGAAGAACTTTTTTCATATTCAGTTTCTTTACTTTGACCAAGTAAAACACAAAAGAGGAAGGTAAAGAGAGAAAAGTGTAAGGTGTTTAACATTTTCTATTTTAATATTTAACACAAATTATATTGTAACATAAACAGAGTGAGAGTAGCTGTTGTTTAAGATTCGCTACCTGGAACAAAAAGTTCCAAGCAGCACGGGCTATGGTGAGCCCGTAGTGGACTTTTTTTTAGAGTGAGAGATTGTAGGCTAATGTGATAAGTATATTAAGTACTGTACCAGGAATGGCTAAAATATTTCGAGGTATTTTGGCCATGTTTTCTCTTTCGGTGGTTACCAAATAAAATTAATGCTGCATATAGCATTAATTTTCCTGATTCCACAATGTGTGTGCTTTGCCTGTAATTCAGCACCCCCTTACAGTAATATACTTTTAGTACAATTGAGTCTTCTGAGCGATCACATTCAGTTGCTCCCAAAGACTAGGCTCCACTGTTTCTAGGCTAATTGCTTGACTGTACACTATGAACTGTAGCACAGTTCACACCCCATCCTGTTAAGATGTTTAGACATTTGACTATGAAGCCAAGATGAAGTCGTTATTATGGCTGTTTTTTGCAGGTGATCATTTCTGCCCATGCCCCTCCTGGGTATTTTGAAAGATTTGCTGAAGAACCATTTTTTAATGCCACGTACAATGATGCCTATGTTGATCTCCTGAATGAATTTGGTGGAATAATTATGGCTCAAATTTATGGTCATGAGCATACAGACAGCTTCAGGCTGTTCCAGACTGCTAAAGTTAAGTATAGAATAATGTTGTTGTATTTTTCCCCTATTACATGCATTTATTATCTTCTAGTGTCATGCTTTTTCCCATCAGAAATTTGTTCTGAAAAATTATTTAATTTTTGAGCTAATTTAGTGTATAGGTATTACTTAATAAATTATACAGTCAAATAGACTGAGGGATGGAAAAATTATAACGCATCCTTGAAAATCCATACCTCCATATAATGGATCACTCTAAACAATAGATCAAATCTGTCTACTGTATTTTCCCTCTGAAATTCAGAAGGAAAATCTGTATTCCAGAGAGGGATGATGTGAAATCTGGGTCATTGGGTTGTATGTAATTTTTAATCATTTTTTTTCTTATTTGTGCTAATCTTGCACATTTATATATATATACCTGTACTATACAAAATACTGGTAATGCATTTATAATTAGAAGTGCCTTGTTAAGTATTGTATTGTACTGCAAACTGTACATAAGTCAATGTGACATTTTCTCTCTTGTATCCAGAAAATGGTTTGACCTCTCACACTCAAGTATTTTATGTTATATACTGTATCATTATTTGCAAGTTAAAGCCATGTCATCCAGCAAGAGTAGTATGGGTTTATCAGGCAAGAGTAAAATGAACTTTCTTACCATGATAACATTTGGCATAATTAATATACTATAAATATACACATACATGTGCACACAAAATCATTATATATATATTATTCATGTCTAAACATTTGGACACAAAACCTGTAAATAGCTAGGCCCATGTCCCAGGAACAACTAACACAGCCTGGAAAGAACTTTGCATACAGGCTCAGAAACAACTGAGCACAGCCCAGAAATTGCAAGGCACGCAGACTGGAAACCCTAAGCACACAGCTCAGAAACCATCGGGCACACGTCCCAGAAATCACGGGGCAAACAGTCCCAGAAATCACGGGGCAAACAGTCCCAGAAATCACGGGGCAAACAGTCCCAGAAATCACGGGGCAAACAGTCCCAGAAATCACGGGGCAAACAGTCCCAGAAATCACGGGGTCCCAGAAATCACGGGGCAAACACTCCCAGAAATCACGGGGCAAACACTCCCAGAAATCACGGGGCAAACACTCCCAGAAATCACGGGGCAAACAGTCCCAGAAATCACGGGGCAAACACTCCCAGAAATCACGGGGCAAACACTCCCAGAAATCACGGCGCAAACACTCCCAGAAATCACGGGGCAAACAGTCTGGAAAATGTAGTGCAGTCACACCCAGAAACTATAGAGCACAATAATGAAAAATTAAACAGGACTGGTCCTAACTGGGCCGTTTGAACAAGGTGCCACTGTACATGACAATCCAGATTTCACAGACACCAGTAAAAAATCCAAGTGTTAACTAAAAAATTGAAATTTTTGAAGAGTGATTTGACAGCAAAATCATGTCATTATTTAGATGGATCCATTATTCAGAGTTGCCTGTGTGGCAGTAATCATCATGGGTGTCATAATAGCACTGTAGTAGTTATTCCCTCCCCTTCCTACCATCTTCCTTACTACTAATAGTATTTGTATTCTACTACTAGTACTCTGTTAGTACAGGTATGGTACTCTTTAATTTTTTAATTACCGGGGTAGTTAATTTATCTCTGAAAAATTGTGCTTGGTCTACCCATTGAAGGGAGTGAAGTAAATTAATAGGTATACAGGATAAGAGTTTGATTTTAGTTAATGTGTATGGTACATACAATAATGTTTTTATCCAACAGGTGATACACAAAGTGTAGCTTTCATAGCTCCATCAGTGACACCCTGGTATCCGGCTCCCGTCAGAGGTGGAACAGCAGTCAATCCTTCTCTTCGACTCTACTTTTACAATAAGACAGCACTTTTGGATTATGCCCAATACCATCTCAACTTGACCAGAGCAAATGGTCCCTATTCTGATAATGTTTATAGAGACCAAGACATCTTTGTATTAAACAATGTCTCTGTGAAATATACTGGGCTGGAAAGGCCTGTGTGGGAACTTTATTACCAAGCAACAGAAGCTTATGGGTTAAAGAGTCTTGATGTTGTTAATATGAAAAATCTCTATGAACAGCTTCAGTTAGATGATGACTTATTTCAGAAATACTACTTAAGGAATTCTGCTGGATTTAATAATGGGCTGTGTGATGTGACTTGTAAAAAGCATCATGCATGTGCTATAGCAAATATTAAAATCAAAGATTTGAATAAGTGCATGGGATACCACCATTTTCAGGGTTACAGAGGACGATTTAAGCCATCAAAGTTCCACAAGGAATTTCCAATATTTATAAAAGAGGATGGGTTCCCTGTAAACTTTCACAGTACATCTAGTTCTCCTCTAGTCATTGCAATTATTGTTTTAAGCATGAGCTTAACTACAGTCTTAGCTGTTATTTTGGCTGTCATGTTAATTGCAATAACAATTAAGAGGAATAAGATACTAAGAAAAGAAAGAAGCCTGCCAGTAGTAGACCTTACATGGGGCCGACGGCAGCAAAACTACAAGCAGATTCCTTAGGGAAAAAACTAGATATTCAGGAAGTCACTAGATCAAGGTGGTTTCCCAATTTATCAGTTATGTCTGTCCATGAAGCTATTTATTGCTGAAGGACCCATGTAATTTCTTCTGTTCTCATTGGTCTTTCACTAAATAAGCAATCTCATTTGTATCTAATAGTCTGTTGGTGTTTTTTGTCCAGTGTATTCCCTTGTAAAACGGGCCATTCAGGGTTTGAAAATCCTTGACAAAATCAGAAAGTGATTGCATGTCGGAAGTTTAAAAAAAAACCACTCCCAGACCTTTAATCAGTATACTGTACTGTATAACACTGAAATTGTATTAGCAAATACAGTATAGTACACAGCATAGAAATTTAAATTTGGGTGATCAATAGGAGATTGAGAAAAGGTCTTTTATATTGAAAGACTTCTGACAAAAGCAGAGGACATAGCAGCACTGAATTTTGCAGTTTTATAAAATACTGTATCCTTTAGTGCAGTATCAGATCAAGAATTATGTCAAAAATTGCATGCCACACAGATAATGTGCTTATATGTTAATCCTAGAATATAGCTTAATGCTGTCTCACATTTCCACTCTAAAATAATTACTGGTGTAATACAGTATGTGGAACAAACTGCTTCCTTGTGTGTTTCTCGACATATTTGATCTCCAGTGCTTCAAGAAGCATATGTGGAGATATTTTTTATGGGAATGCATCACTCCATTGAATTATACCCAAGCAAATGTATTTCATATATTTAGTAAATCATGTGGGGTATTTTCAAGATACAGTATCATCCAAAAGGTTATGTATGTGCTCTTGATTATAAGAATACAGTTGCCATAACTGTCACCTTGTAACCTGTGATGGGGATATGTAATTAAAAGACAAGAGATTGCTTCAAGTCAGGTGGCTGGAGGTGCTTTAGTGTTAATTTCTCCACAGATTTGAGCATAATGTATTGTAATTTCATCACCATTAATATTAAACTTTAAATGCATGTATGTATATGTAATCTGTGTACTATATGTATGTATATATATATTTGGTTCATGGTTGTGCATTAATATAGTATGCATTAGAGTAAGATTCAGTAATTTAAAAGTACAGCATTTAATATACAGAGCAGTATAGTACAGTATGTACATCTCGGTTTTCTTTACAGTTGGATGATTCAGACAAAACACAATCTACAAAATGTTACATGGTTATACACAATGATTTGAATAACCCTAAAAAATGTTATGCCCCAAATGCAAGAAATGCTATCCATGTAGTCTTGCATTAGGAAGTAACTGGGTGCTCCAGTCAGAAAGGAACTTTTCATATACTTCACTGCACACTCAAATCACAATTTCTTCATTTGATTTTAGTACAAAAATGTGTGCAAATACAATTCTCATATTTTCCACTTTTTTGTTTTTTTTTTATAGAAAAGCAAATAAAAAATGCTTAGTTATACAGACTATCAAAATTAAACTGTACAGTTGAGGAAATTATAATGCATTTACAATTTTTAAAATGACCCTCAGGTCATTTTTACAAATACCTGTACACTGAAGTACTTATACATAATTTACAATTTCATATGTAACTACAGTATTTTAACTAATATATACAATATTTTGTGTGTGAAATTATAACCAGCTGCTGCTGTTACCTACATGGTGCACCTCCTTAATTCCAAACACACTCAAGGAAACACATCCACTTCATAAACTATTTTGGTCGATCAGATATTGCATCTTCAACATGAAGCCCAAGGCTTCCATTTCCCAGTAAGGCCACTAGCAATAGTGGCTGGTAATTACAGAATTGTATTTTTGTAATAATTTGCACTGAAATTCTAGCTCCAGCTGTGGCTCCTTATACATAGCATCAGCTTAATCCCCTTAACTGCACAGGCTATCTTAATGCATTGTCTGTCATGTCCTTGATTTTTTATATTACAGTATTATTATTATTATTATTTTTACATTTTAATTCAGTTTGCCTGGATGATAATTAACAAAGTCTCTATGATCATGGTTTAGCTGTAGTGACCGAGGGAAGTTGTGAGGCTTGAGGTGAGAACATGGGAATAATTTTGTCCGTTTACTTTCATTTTATTTATTTAATGTTTAGTACCTACATGTTGTACTGTATTAATTTGTCAGTAATGGCATTCATTATGTACAGCTTTGGAAAGATATGTATGTTCAGATTATGTGTATAAATATATGCACACCCTCTATTTATTCATACCAATATTATATACAATACATATATATATTATATTTATAATTACACAGCACACATTTTGCATGCAAATATATAAACTTGTACTGTACATGGATATCACTGATTTGCTGCTGTTAAAAGTTCACTGGTTCCTAGCATGGCCGCCCTGCTCAGTCAGTCACTGGATGCGGTGATGCACCAGTCATGGTCCACATCTTTAAACTAAGGTTGTAGGAAATTAAGGCACTCTGGATATTTTCCAGATATTGTATGGTAAACATTCGACAAAGGCCGCTAGTGTCAAATGATTCCTTCCCTAGAATGGGTGGGGCCCTTAAATTATGTCTGGGCAATTGGAGCATATGGGCTGATCACTGAAGCAATTGGAGCTGTGTAAGGATTAATATTTGGATCATATGTAATGTTTAATAATGACCATGGTAAGTCAGATAATGAAACCGATGGACCATTATCTTATTTTGTAATGTATAAGTGATTTGATTATGTTTTATTTATTAATGTAGTCTCATAAAGGGTTGTGAATATAATATGTGAACATAATGATAAAATATATAATATCTTGTACATTCTATTTTTATTAAGTTTTTACTTTAAAGTTAATATTGTATATAAATTTAGGTCTTAATGGTTCTATTTATGCAGCCCATTCTCTTGATTTACCTCAAAGTGCTAATCTGACCAGAAATGTATGAACCCAAGCAACCCCACAGAACCTACCGTTGCATAAAAAATGTGGATATTTGGAAAGCCACTACTTGTCTTAGCACTTTGTTATTTGTATGTTGGAGACCATAACGTACAAAATAAGCCATACTAGTTGAGAGGATAGGCTGAGACATTCTAGTTGAGAGATTGGGTTGTAAATGTTTATTCTCTGTTGGGTGGCGAGTGCATCAAGTTGTCACTCGTCACTAGCTCCATGTGTTCGAGTGCATCAAGTTGTCACTCGTCACTAGCTCCATGTGTTGTTGGTAGTTTGATTATCAAATATCGAAAGCAGATATTATTACTGTATACACAAAATGTCACCAAAGTTGCATCATAAAGCATTCATAGATAAATGATCAAAGAAAGGGAAGAAGCATTACGAGGCAGAAACGTGGAAAAAAAAGTGATCACTTGTTAATTTATACATTAAAGGTTGGACTAAACTAGTTGAAACCCTAAACCATTCTGTCCTATAGTAGTGTAATTTTAAATAATGCCTTGTAATGTACCAAATTATAAAATTCATCAAATTTTCAAAGCCTATTTTTCATAATCACTATTCATATTAAAATTATCTAATGTAGTTTTTACAAATAAATATTAGTATCACAGTGCCTGTGTTATTATTTCAAGACCATTTTCTTTCCACCTCCAGTACATTCCATCTTTTATATACTGTACTGTAGTTGCCAAGGCAATTCCAGTGTTTTGACATCTCATTTGGTGCTGGCATGTAATGAGTGCTCCTTTTATTGCCCTATCAGTATGCAAAATTTTTTGGAGTGTTCTATATTATCCTACAATATAATAGATCACCAAGGCAAATGGTTTTTGTTGATCTATAAAAAAACTATTACCTTCGACAAGCCGCTGACTTCCTGTCCTCGTTAAAGCCACTAGTGTTTCTTGGGGGAGCCCCTTCGGCTCCCCGAAGCTATCCGGGCTGATGTGGATGTATTAGACCCCTGGCATCAGTCAAAATGAATGGAGTTCTATGCCTACCGAGGACCACGAGCCAGAACCTAGCCTCCTCAGGGAGGCATGATGAGCAATGGCCTATATAAACCCCTGTGTGATTGGAAACATTCTTTGTCTGCCATCAACCGGGTCAGGCACCCTAAAACAAACCTTATCTGGTTAAACAAAATTGCTACAGAAAGTCGGACTGTTGGACAGACCCAGACCTCCGGTCTGCTCATGCTGGCTGTCATCTTCAGTAACATGTCTTGGGCTGACATTCGGCCATGGGGTTTTAAGAGGTCAAACAGGGTCCTGGCTGCTCACTACCTAGTCAATGTTCCCACCCTAATCAGGCATGTGTTGCACTGGGTCGGGGGTTTCAGCCAGTTGTCTCGGCTTCGAGTTGAGGAGCGAGTGGCGGCCGCCTCCTGGGTAAGTCCCTCTTGTTTTCTCTTTGTTTAAGTAGCTCCGGGGAGCCAAAGGGGCTTCCCCCCAGAAAACCAGCGTTGAATGTAATGAAACGGCACTTTCTGGGTGAGACCCAGAGGCTCCCTGGTAACCCCCTCTCCTTCCGGTCAGCAGTTTTCACGTGTTTGATATCCAGCCTCAGAACTAGGGTGTGGATAGCCAGCACAGGGGTCTAGGGCTAACACTTTCCCCTCCCGGGGAGGGATGAGCTATGCAGATGGTGGCGCGGTGAGTTGTGACGTCATGCTCGTTTTTCATTTGGGGCGTTCTGTCCAACAGTTCAGCTTTCTGTAACAATTTTGTTTAACCAGATAGGATTTGTTTTGGGGCACCTACCTTTCTGGGTACCTGACCTAGTCGATGGCAGACACAGAATGCTTCCAACCACATGGGGGTTTCCATAGGCCATTGCTCCTCGTGCCTCTCTAAGGGGGCCAGGTTCTGGCTCATGGTCTCCGGTAGGCATAGAACTCAATTCATTTTGACTGATGCCAGGGTCTAATACATTCATGTCAGCCCAGATAGCTCTGGGAAGCCTCCGGGTCTCACCCAGAAAATGGCGTTTCATTACATTCAACGCTGGTTTATTGGCCCTTCAGGTCAATCGGGTAAATATTGGTGAAAAGCCACCAAGTTATGGAGCACCTGTAATATCTACAGTATTATTAAATTGAATACTTTTATCTGAATATGAAAACCATACACTTGTATTGCATACATGTGTATTGCTTTTGGTGTCCCAAGTATCATCACAAGTGTGTAGGTAATTTGCAAAAGGTGGCATTATGCTTTATATGGATGGCTATACTATGTAGCTAATAGTAGTGCAAGAATTGTTTTTCATGGTCTATACGGAGAGGGCTTTTTTCTTATTAAAAATTTAATAAAATGGATAAAAACAAAAAATAATAATTCCTTTGTAATTATGCTCGAGATATCATATATAATATGTATAGAGAACACATTCAAGTTTCTTGGGCCACAATTTTTTTTTTACAATGGAGCAAAAAGTATATTTTAATTTATTTTCCCTATAAAAGTTTGTTTTTGTAGTATTTTTTAATAATATAGATAGATGGAAAGAAAGTTTTTCCTGGATAGAAATGCAATAAAATATGTAAAACATTAAACTCGTTTCTTTTCTATCCTCTGTGGGAACAACAATGCAAGAGGATACCATGTCAAAGGAGTCGGTTAAGTAGATATGGTCTTATAAACAAGCCTCCAGAAAACAATATTTACCCATATAAGTGTCTAGTACATATACAGTACAGGTATTGTGTACAGTATTTGGGTATAAAGTGTGCCCTCATTTTCAAGAGCAATTAGTACCTGTGGTACTTCTGGGTAACTGAAAATCCAGATAATTTAATAAAATATTCAAATATAATTTTTTGAACATTTTTATTGTTTATTATAACATCTACATGCTGAAAATACCTGTAATTGTATTTTAAATAGGAATACATCAATTTATATGTAGGAAACTAATAAAATTTTGGTGTTACAGCATTTGATACTGTATAACCAAGTGTCCTTTCTCGTCGGATTATGTCGATACTTCACAAATACTGGAATGGAGGTTAACCCCCCCCCCCCCCCAGTAACCTGTGCATGTGTCCAGAATCCGAGAACCCAGAAAATGGGGAACCAATCAATGGGAGTCGTATTGTAATGAATGCTCCCACTGGAATGAAACTCGTGACTTCTGAATGCCGGTTGGACCGGTAGCTCTTTGTTGTTACAAAATTTAGTTGACATTGAATGCTGTATACTTTTTGGGGGATTCATCAAGATAAGCATTATACCCAAACACCTGTACACTAAAACTATTATGCTCATTTACAACTTGATCAAGTATTCAACAACAATAACCTGTACACTAAAACTATTATGCTCATTTGCAACTTGATCAAGTATTCAACAATAATTAACAATTATTTGAAATTAATTCTACAAATGTATTGGGTATATATCAAATAATTTTATTGCCATATGAGAAATGCCCCTGTTCACTTAGCAGTAACCAAGAGTTAGGCAACTGTTATTGGTTGCTTCCTAAACAATCTTAATGGATTTCCTGTTTCCCAAACATGGAAAACCATGCTCTCCCAACAGCATAGTTTTCTCCATGTCTTATTTCTCTTGTTTAGTACTATTAGTGGATCATCTGGTTTCAAAGAGATCAGAAGTGGCACAGCCGGAGGCTTCGAGCCCGCTCAGGAATATACATTACAGTATAAGGAAAAAAAAATCAGATTCCATTCCAAGTGGAGTCCAGTGTATCTAAACCATGTAGTAGATTGATTGATTGATGAAGATTAAGCCACCCAAGAGGTGGCACGGGCATGAATAGCCCGTAAGTGGTGGCCCTTTTGAGCCATTACCAGTATCAAGAGCTGATACTGGAGATCTGTGGAGGCACGACTGCACCCTGCGTGACGGGAGATGTCTCCCGGACCAAGTGGTGACCAGATGGTGCCATGTAGTAGGTTTCACTAGAAAGACCCATCTTCCAACACTAAAACTCTTATTTTCTAGTCAATCTTTTTTTGCCAAACACATCACCTGCTACACTTAATGGTACTCTTAGTTTTTGCACTCGATATGCTTACTCAATAGAATAGAAAATCATTCTATTTTCTCCATTGTATATAATAATTGTAGCATATGTGGGCTATCTTCTATATTACACAATTACACTAGCATAATCAATCATATTCACATCTGCATTTCATTCATAAATTTAATCCATCAAACATTAAAATTATCATCTCTAACATAATTTTTCTTATTCACCAGTTAATATTTTTCAGAGCTTATTATTCCCACTATTTTTCTGCTTAAGTAATCTTTACACAATTTCACTCATCACACTCCCTCCTTTCTTGGTTCTCTATATCCTTCTGTTTACATTTAAAGAATTAACTCTTGCCATTTTCACATCCCATCCAGCACTTCCTTTCATTCTTCTACCAGTTTATGCACCATAAAGCATTAAAATAGTTTCTCGAGAAACAAAAATAGTACAGTAGTCATTGAGAAAATCAGGAGCCATGAGGAGGATTTGAACCTATACACTGGGTAATCCCAGCCAATGATGAGTCTACTAATTTTCTCATTGATACATCATGTTAATGTGATTTCTTTGTGCATTAGTAGTACTTGTTATTCAGAAGTTCAGCTGAGCAAAGGCAGATTAATTTTCTGAAGATTCATGGTTGTCAAGGTGCTCCTGGTGACGAATACTGGGCATAGTTGTTGAGAACAAGGTCAGTAAGTGAAGGGGGTTTGGTGCGAGCAGTACGAGTGTGCGTGGCACTTGACAAACCAGGATCTATTACCCCGAGGACTCCTCCAACTAGATGCAATGAGCCTGTCACTAATATCTGTAAGGAATATATATAAAACGAGACAGATAAGAAAACCCTTATTCTATAATTCTTGATTGCTCGCTAATGATGTATTGTACTGTATAGGAAACAACATGGATAAACATAATAAAAATCTAGAAATGATTTTAGTAAGAATATAATAAAGCTTGTGATACACTTAAAAAACTAATAATTATTGAGATGAAAGGGTATCAATGACATTTCTAAATTATTTTATGATCTGTTGGTCTAGCTTCAAAAAATAAAATAAAATAAATAACTCGATTCAGTTCTAGAAATGAGTGATAAGTGTTTACAGCAAGTTGCAATGATAACCAGGTGACAATTGTTAGAAAAAACAGTGCTGAATGTAATGAAATGTCATTTTCTGGGCGAGACCCGGAGGCTCCCCGGAGCTATACCGGGCTGATGTGTATATATTTACACGCTCCTGTGTAACCTGTGGTGACGTCATGCTTGTTTGCTTGTTTTCTGACTTGGGAGTTCTGCTTGCTCGTTCGCCTTTCGGTTTGCAATTTTTAACCAGTTGTAGTTTTTTGGGGGATTCCTACCTTTGTGGGTGTCTGACCTGGTAGATGGCAGACATAGACTGCTTCCATCTACATGGGGGTGTCTATAGGCCATTACTCCTCGTACCTCTCTGAGGGGGGGGAGGGGGGGCCAGGTTCTGGCTCGTGGTTCCCGGTAGGCTTGGAACTCCATCAACTGACTGTTGCCACGGTCTAATATACTGTATACACATCAACCCAGTATGGTCTGGGGAGCCGAAGGGACCCCTCCACAGAAATTACTATAAACATGACAGCAGATGGAGTAATGTAACTCTCTCAAACATACTACTCTTTAAACAAGTGTTTGTTCATTTGATGCATCACGCTATTGTGATTTCTGTGTGTAATGAAGTAAGGGCGGAGAGGTAGAACGGCCTATTGACATAGCACGAGTGTATGGGGAAGTTGTGTAAAACCCTGGTTTGTGTCTCGGAGAGGCTGCAGGATCTAAGTAAGTTCAGTAGAACTTCTGGTTTCAACTCTTTTGACCATGTCGTAGCTCAGTCAATTAAGGCAGCATCTGGGAGGCTCTCGGACGTAGGTTCGAATCCTTGTCACGGCCCTTGAGGATTTGTTCATTTGATGCATCACACTATTGTGATTTCTGTGTGTAATACTACACTTTGACCATATTTGGGTTATTGTATGCATATCCATAATGTGAGAAAATATAGAAATGAAATATGAATAAATTACAAACCTGCACTTGAGTAGCCTCTTGTAACCTAAGTGGTGGTGGAAAAGCTGGAGGTGTCAAAACCTCCCCTCGGAGATTAGAAATACGTTCACATGATAACCACATGAGAGCATCACGGATGCATGGAAATATTATACTTGGCACATCCGTTGCTAGATTTAAATTATCTTCCCGTTCACTGACTACATCATTTTGCGTTTTCTGCATCATTTTGCATTTTGTCTTACATTGTTTACCAGTCTCTCTCACAAGTCTGATCCAAGAGTTCCTTTGCCTTTCACTTCGTAAATGCATTTCATCAGAGGATACCGAGTAATTTGCCTGATCTGCAAATTATGACAAATATGACAATCTCATTTAGCAGTTGTATAGGGATAATGCAAATTTTATTATGTTTAAATCTCTTACAATCTTAACTTATTCTGGTCAAAATTATTTATGAATTGAGCATTTCGTGCATATACCGTCAATCCTTAAGAAGTGGAAAACAGGCCACATAAAGCACAATATATCTTGTACAAATTATATATAATGTAAAATAGTGACATCTGTTGCCATTGATTTGACATACACCAAGATTCACTGAAAACTCACCAGATGATGAACTCATAGTTGTGGTGACAAGATTGGTTGTGAACACAGCCAAATCAAAATTACAGGAAGCCAAGAACCGTAGCAGAGATTCAGGATCACGATCGCCAGTAGAATTGAACAGAAGCACACGGTAAGTTCTCGTTTCACTGAAAATGGAAGATAAATATATATATCATATTTTACAAAATGCATTAATGTCCTGAGGCAATATATAAATTACATATTATATGTGAAAAATGTGACATTTTTTCCATTTCCAATAGTGACTATTAGTATTTTCTCTGTCATTTATTTAAAACTTGAGTGACAATCTTTCCAAATAATTCTTCTATCATAAAAATCAAATGTTACGTATAATTTAATAACAGCACAATATTTTTGTATTACAGTACAGTACTTAAATTGTGGAAAATATTTACAACTATCCATATCAATTAAAATATAGGGTTGAAAATAAATTCAAATAATTAACAGAAAAGTTTGCTTGAATATTACCCAAATACAATACAGTACTAGCAATTTTCTATAACCTTCATATTATTTTAGAGAAAACATAGTGTCAACACATCTTGGATAGTCAGTGTAATTGGAGTGGAATTGATGTGCACAGGAACAACACAAGGAATGGGTGAGCATGAAGAACATTAGGGGTAATAAAGAGGGGATAAAGCAGAGGCTAATAAGTGAAAAAATTATGGAAAATACTGTACACTAATGGCAGCAGATGTAAGAACCAAGCTGGTCATGAAATATATGAGGAAGTTAAATAGGGAGAAATCAGTAATAATTAACAGCGTACTGAAGCCAGTGGGCGACCAGAAACTACTACCAGGATTTCTGTAAAATTCAAGAGGCAAATCTGGTAAACTGAACAGGTACTTTAAGCTCAGGATGTTTCAGAATGGAAGGAATTGACCAGTAAAGCTAATACTTAAGCACGGTACCGAAGTGAAACATAAAGGTAGGAAAAAAAAACTTGGGGACAGAAAGGCATCTTGAGGTTATGTTGAGATGATTTCGGGGCTTAGCATCCCCGCTGTCCTTGACCCGGCCTCCTTTTTGTTACACACACCCCCAGGAAGCAGCCCATAGCAGCTGTCTAACTCCCAGGTACCTATTTACTGCTAGGTGAACAGGGGGCATCAGGGTGAAAGATACTCTGCCCATTTGTTTCCGCCTCCACCGGGGAGCGAACTCGGAACCTCAGGACTATGAATCCAAAGCACCGTCCACTCAGCTGTCAGGCCCCTACCCGGCATACCACGAACTGTACATTAGCCAGGACATGTCCAACGATAGGAAAGTAAGAAAATCTAGGACGAAAAGCATATATACTATTATATGGTGCAAGGGAAACCAAAGAAACTGCATAAGCAGCACAATGAGGACCAGCAAGCCAGGCAGCAGAAAATGCAACACAGAAAAACAGCTTGTTGAAACATCCACTCAAAAGAAGCAGACACGAGTGAAGAGCTCAATATGCACTCAACCCCCCATTTAATATTGCAACTGGAACAATTGGAACCACTTAAAGAATAAAACTCTCAGAAATGACTACAGGCAAACGAACACTCGAGCAAAACCAAACTATTCTATTAGAGATGAGTAGCATTAAAATTCTGTACATATATGCTGATGGAATTACAGAGAGGAGGATAGAATTACAATAAAGGGTAGTGGGAAAACAACCACACAGCATCACAATAATGGAGATGAAACAGAGAGCATGTAATAGGAAGGGAGAGGATGAACAGGGTGTGGAGGTGTAACCCTGCTGCTACAGCTGCTCTGTAGCTTTGTAATAAAATATCACAGGCTACATACAAGATAAGGCAACAGCTGGGAGCATGCCAACAGTGGTAGTGATCATTTACAACCCCCTCATCCAAACACCACAAGGCTCAAGGAGGTGTATGATACTGTAAATGCATTGCTACCCATTTACATTGAACACTAGTTTCTCTTAATACCCCTAAGACTTTTACATCTGAATTAATAGAAATAGAAAATCAAAGGAAAGAAATATAAAAGGTCAAAGAAAATACCAGTAAGTATAAAAAAAAAATCAGAGGAAAACCATTAAGAGGCATTAGAATGCAGTTATAAAAGTTCTAGCACTGAGATGATTGGACTTCATCAAACTAGAATTCAGATTAAAGCTTACTCATGCGATGTATGAAGAGGTACAGCTTTCATAAACCAATCTACACATGCTTGCATGCTGGCAAGTGTGTGGGCTCCATCTATGAAAAATGTAAAATGGCCATATGACATCACCTGAGGAGTAAAAAAAAGATATAAAAATTATTTAATTGTTATTTTAAAGTTTTAAACATCACAATTTCCAGGACCCACCCATTCCTAGAGCCCGGTAGGCTCAGGAATCTGTACACCAGTTGAGAAGCGGGATCAAATTGTCAAAGCTCAAGCCCTGCAAGCACAACTAGGTGAGTGAGTATTAAGAGTAAGATATTCATTACTGAACCATGTATAGCTCACCTGAGTTCTTCCTGGCCAAACTACAGATTTAAGCCCACATACTTCTTCATCGGCAAGCATGAATGGCGCAGCAATCTTAAGGTCTTCATGAACTGAATGTGAACCATCCATACATTTGATGGCAGCATGGTTACCTGATATACAAGAAAGTGTTATAACACTGGTACCTTGGCATTTGAACAGGTCCAAACTCATTCAATTCAGCACTCAAACAATTTATTTGAGAATAAAAATGCTCGGTAGCTGAACATTTGCCCAGCACTCAAATGTAAACACATGAACAGACAAGTCAGTTTCCCAGAAGCTGTCATTCAGTGCATAATCCTATTAAACTACTCTGTAAACTTTCTCACATTTTCTTGCATATTTTTTATATTCTTAGCATAAATAAGTCACCATGGCTCCTAAGAAAATTAGTGACAAGCACTAAACAAGAAGAAACTAAGTTAGAACCATGATAGAAATGAACAGAGAACTTGTAGCAAAATATGAAAGTAGTGCCCAGCAGTCTGTTCTTGCTACCGAGTTTAGTATGCCTTAATGCCTTGGATGTTTCACCGATTGTTTCATCCCTTGTTTTTCTTTATTTTAATACACAGAGAACTATTATATCCATGTTTGCATCATACATGTAAAACCCAGACAATAATGGTTTAAATCATCATATGACAATGACCGCATTCCCCTAGTAACATTCATAATAACCACATTCGTTCCATGAAATGGTAGCAGGATTTGTTTCATGGGTCAAGGTAAGCTTCATTATATCCATACAGACCTATTTTATCCATATTTGCTCATACATGTAAAACTCCTGGGACAATAATTGTTTAAATCGCCTTTTGATGATACGTAACCGCAGTCCCTTACTGATCATCAATAGATCATAATCACAGCCTAAGGGCTAAATTGGAATGCTTAGTGTACAAAATATTATAAATGAGAGGAATGCTGACAATAAACAGATAAAGTATATACATATATATAGTTCTAAACATTTCAAATTCTCTTTCTCATTCTACAACACTCTTTGAGTTTTATATTCACAGATGTATTTTTATGTTTACCATATACATTACTTGTGATTATCTAGTTACTAATTGTACACCAATTTTGTAATACAGTATTAATTTTCTGTTGTATGCTTACTATACCTATCACTGGTAATAGTAAATATAGTAAGTAATTATTAAAAGAAGGCATGAATATCATTGGTAATAGAGCATAGCTGATTTTGGTAAAGTTAATGACATGTATGCAGAAACTTTAACTTATGAAACTCTAAATATTACCTTTAGTTTGGGAACTGATCCAGTACTGAGAAAGCTGAAGAGCAAGAGAAGCATTTTGATATTGGACACTTCCTGCCAAACCTAACTGCAGAGGTCGTTTACCCCATCCATAGCTCTCAAGGGGAGGTACCACATACAGCTCACACTGCAAATGTCAATAAAACAATGTCAAAACATCCTAAGGGCTTCCCCAAGCTGTCTGCAAGAGCACTGCACTTTTTGTTTTGCAAAAAGATATTCCAATCATGGTATCTCCATTTTGCTAAAAAAAAATAATCTACTGTATATCCTTAATTTTATCTGTTTAATACATTAAATTTCTCCAAAAAATTATTCCTCCTCAAATATCATCAACAATACAGTACTTAGCAACTGCAATTAAAAATAAATACTAAATTAAGCAAATATGATTTTATGTTAATTCATTATTAAAATTGATATATAAACACAATTGTCTCTTTCAACTGTCAACATTGTATAAAGTGTATACAGTATCCACTCAATTTAACGGTCTCTTTTATACCGATCTGCCGGTATTAACGACCGGTTTGGGAGACCGGTATCTGGAGCCTGCTATACCGGTCTGCGGTCGATATTACCGACGGTCGGTATTGGGTTTGTTGTGGCATCAGCGTCCCCTCACATGGCGACCAGGCCACCGACCTGGATCGTCCAGAGTCATATATTACATCTTAATTTTCTTTTAAAATGATTCACTTTAATGAAGAAAATTGTAAATTATTATTAATAAAATATTTTGAAACAGTTTTTATTAAGCAAAAGTCTTTGTTTTCTTATTAAATACCTTTCATAGTATAGGCACTAGGTATTTTTTTTTTCCCACGGACCTAGAATGTACTCCGCTGGGCCATGTGTTCCCATTGTTTACTGTGAACTCGCGCGGCTAGCTTCAATTGTGAAGGATATTACTGTACAGTACTGTAATTGTGATCTTCTTTTTAATTTACAAAATGCCAAAAGTTACCCAAAGGAAGCGCCTGACGGTTGCACAGAAGCTGGAGTTAATTAAGAAACTTGATAAAGGATATTCTCATGCACGAGCAGCAGCAGAGTTTAACATCGGGAAAAGTACAGTAAGTGACATCAAGAAACAGAAGGATACTCTATTAAAATATGCCTACTACACCACAGTCTCCGTGGTGTAGTGGTAAGACACTCGCCTGGCGTTCCGCGAGCGCTATGTCATGGGTTCGTATCCTGGCCGGGGAGGATTTACTGGGCGCAATTCCTTAACTGTAGCCTCTGTTTAACGCAACAGTAAAATGTGTACTTGGATGAAAAAACGATTCTTCGCGGCAGGGGATCGTATTCCAGGGACCTGCCCGAAACGCTACGCGTACTAGTGGCTGTACATGAATGTAACAACTCTTGTATATATCTCAAAAAAAAAAAAAAAAAAAAAAAAAAAAAAAAAAAAAAAAAAAAAATGCCTGAAAATAAGTGTACATACAGTATGTACCCTGTATACAATATAAACAATATAAAACAAGCGCTGCAGAGGATGACGTAATCTTCACAGCTTCGTAATCTTCAGCTTCATTAAAAGTAAGTCAATTTACCAATTTTATTATAGTATTACAAGATATTAATTGTTTTTTTTCAACCAAAGCTACATATTAGTCTCTGCAAATGTATATTCTATCGTCAGCAGAGAATAGGTGAGCTCAAAATATTTCGTCTTGGCTAGCTCTCAGTGACAAGGCTCGATCGCCATTGTTATGGCATGGCCGCCACAGCGTGTGTTGTAACATTAAAAATACATTACCTGCACTGTTCAGGGTAAATCAAAACACATGAACATGCAACAAAAGCTACATATTAGTCTCTGCAAATGTATATTCTATCATCAGCAGAGAATAGGTGAGCTCAAAATATTTCGTCTTGGCTAGCTCTCAGTGACAAGGCTCGATCGCCATTGTTATGGCATGGCCACCACAGCGTGTGTTGTAACATTAAAAATACATTACCTGCACTGTTCAGGGTAAATCAAAACACATCTCTAAAATATTATTGAGAAAATATTAACTTGCTGATTGATACATGAAATATTTTGCAATACAAAGGAATGAATCAATTTTTTCCCACCCATCTGGGCTTGATCAGACCGTGTTCACACATCATCCATGCAGCAGCCAACAACTGGCTTAATCGTCGGTGTGGCACTAAATTGGAATGCAATTACACAATGAACTTTATTTAATTTTAGTTATACAGTATAAAATATATCCTACCTGAATGTTACTTGAAAAATTACCCGACCCGACTTAACTTCGGAAATAACGGAGCTCCGGAAATAACGACTAGGGTACAGCCCCATATAGGCCGTTAAATTGAGTGGATACTGTAATTATAAAAGTACTGTACAGTATATTAAAAATTAATAATACAAGCAAAACCTACCTCCTTCTCCCTAGCCCTCTCCATCAATACAGGCAAAGAGGAGCTCTGCTGCTGATCCACAGTAAATGTTGGAGCCCCAGGCTTCATTATTCCTGCTTTGTGCCATGCAATTGACTCGATTGTGTTGCCTAGGATGGAGGTATGGTCAATATCAAGTGTAGTTACAGCACAAACCACAGGATTTCTGAAAGGAAACACTCAGAATATTCAAGTGTAGAATAGCAGAGTATTCTTGTACTTCTGTTAAGGTAACACACAAAACAAAACTGAAGACTGAACAGAGCATTTAGGGGCTGACTACAATGTAGAGAAACACCTAGTTGAGAGTAGACTTTATTAAATGTGTAGTTCCCCCCCTGTAAGGGCTTCGTCAAATGTAATAGAGAAACACAGTGCTAACTGCTCATAAAAGAATAATAATAGGTGGTGTGCTGACATCAGAGAGGTGAAGGATTAAGCAAAATTATATTTTTTAATGTATCAATATACCAAATGAGGTTGCACTGCAGAATTTTCCTCGATTCTGCCCATCCATTAACATCCCTGTCTTCCTCTCCTCCTACTCACAAATTTACTCAAATACATTTTTCACACGTTTGTCATCACACATTTATTTAACACACCTTCACACAGACATCCTCAAAATAATTTTAGATTGTCTTTCTGTAGGAGAGCTGACAGAGAACCAAATTAACGTTAAGTTGCTCACGTATCCAATCAAAAATTTTCTTAAGTGACTTCATGCACATAAAATATAAAAATATAGTATACCATATATATAATACAAGTTCATCTGTATGCGCACTCATGCTTTAAGTTTGAGTGTGTTCTATTTCACTATTCTGTTTACTGTTGGAGGTGTTCATCATTGATTTGCTCGATAAGCATATCATTCTTTCACGGTTCATTGCTACTTGAGCCTAAGACTTAGGTGTTTGGTATCAAGCATGAGTGCATTCAGTCATTTTACTCTCAATCATATTTGATTATGGGTTATTTGGTTTCACATCAGGTAATGCCTTGGCTCAGCTTCAAGGGGTTCTCTTGCCTCTTGTTGCCAAGATTATGACAACTAAGAAGCTAATAATGCCTCAAATACTGTAGTGCATAAAATACTTGAAACCACCAGGCAAATTCAAACTTAAGTTGTACAGTATTGTTACAATTATCAGTGCCATAATTTAAGAATTTTTTTTTTATTAATAAGCTAAATACAGGATTTAGCTCATACCAGTTTCATAGGTAAATTAAGACCTTGAGCAGGATGATGCATAGTACTGTACAATATTTCTGCATTCTTCTCAACATTTCTCTTTAGTAGCCTATCAAACCTTCCCAAACTAATGATAAAAAGATACTATACAGTAATATCAGTATAGACACTGCTGTCATCTTTCTTGAATATTAATTTCTACACATTTTGTGCACCATCTATTTTAATTATTCTTAACTAAATGGAGCAAAACAGGTATGCCAAGCATAACAAAAATACACTGAAAACACAGTCAATTTTGGTTAAAATTAACAAATTCAAAATATATATATATAACAAAATCATCACAATCTTACCTAACAACATTAGTACAGTCATACTCTCCTCCAATGCCTACTTCGAGGACAACAACATCTACTTCTTCACGCAAAAATATTTTAAATGCCAGGACCGTCAGAAATTTAAAGTATGCTGGCATATCATTTTCATTTTCCTGGAAAAATAAATTTTACACAAAAATTAAGAGGCCATTATTAAAAACTTAAACAATAAGCATAAGATAAATTTCCCTCACACCAAATTTAAGATTAACCATTTTAAAGAACAAGTTATATTTGCTGTGAAAGAAAAAACACTGATACCGTTAAACTGAAGAGATAGTAGCAAGGTTCGAGATGGTGGGCAAGTGGAAGTGTCTAAATATTGGAGAAAAGGCTATATTGATCGAGAAACTTTAACAAGGCTGTGAAGATAAGCATTTGGCAGAGGCTATTGGGAAAAGCCCATATACAAAGAGTACCTGACTCTCCTGATAGGAAAAGACAGGATTTTCCCTAGCAAAGAAGGAAGATCAATGGCCTTACTTAGGATGGTATCTTCAGGTCAATATGAGACCCGCAAGGAGGATGCTTAGGAACCACCAACAGAGGAGGAAACTGTGAAGTTTGTTACTGCAAAGTGTCCAAAGGGGTAAAGACAGAAGTTGGCACAAAGTGGCAAGCAGCCTGTTTACTATCCTCAGAATTGGATTCTAAGTATGGTAAGCTACCAGTGCTCTTAATATCCTATAAGAAAGTATATGAGCACATAAACAATCAGCCGTCTGATATGTGATTGACCAAGTCAGGGTTAACGTGGATCAAAGTCCACTCCCAGAAATGCTTGCACACTTAAGGGTGTCTGAGAAATGGATACAGTTCCCAAATAAGAAGAGTGACAGAAGCAAAGGGTGTGGCTATTAAATACAGAAAACACAACACCAGTCCTATAAACAAGACATTCAAATAAAAATCTAGAGGGGCACATTCAGCCTCAGAATCACATGCAGAGTCAGCATGCATTGGCTCCAATGATGTGTATAATTTGGTGTCCATCACCAGGGCAATGGAGCCACTTAACATATTGGACACCTGAATGTTTAAATATACCAGCACTTAGTAACTAATATGTTTGGAAATATTTGTCAAGTAATTTTCATACCATTCTGCTTTGTGTGCAGTTAGTATTAATTAAAAATCATGTGCTGTACTTCAAGATAATTAGTTAAATCATCATGAAGACAACTACTGTAATGCATATATGCCATGATGGCAAGATAAGTAAAACATGCACAAATACCTTCTTAGCAACAAGTCTATCATATACGTCCCAAAAGTGCTCAGTGAAGTCCTCTTTTGGTATCGGTTGGCCATTGATTCGTATTCTTTCACGAACAGCAACAAGATGGGGCGAGGAGTAAAAGCCAGTACGGTAACCATGCTCTCGTAAAATGCTCTCAACAAAGGCACATGTGGACCCTTTGCCCTTGGTTCCTATAGACAAAAAATACAGCACAGCACAGTATAGGACCAATAATACTGTACACTGTGGTAACGGTGTGTAATTACTGTACTGCAAAAAGTTTGTATTTTTTGTTCTAGTCTTCTTTTCAATAATGGAAAAACAAAAATCTACCAGCTCTCTCTCTACAGCCCCATGTGACATTCTATGATCCTGTATCAGAAAAGATATGTTAATGGGATGCTGCTGTTTAATAAGACATATTACCTTTCCTCTCCCATTAAGTTCCCTCGTGTTATGAGTACTCTTGCGCTGTTATAAGCACACTTATCTTTTTCAGTGTAATTACCTGGCAAGTGTTTATGAGTGCAATAGACAAATCAACACAATTTTTTATAATTATAATAATAATATACATATAATTATAACGAATAATATTGTAGTGGTTAGCATAATTGGATCACAATCAAAAGTTTCCATGTTCAATTCCCAGGCCAGGATAGAAACAATTGGGAAAGTTTCCTTTCACCTGATGTCTGTTCACCTAGTGTAATAGCACATATTTTTCTACATATACCCTACAATATTGTCATTACTGTAAATGGACTTGTATATTAACAAGAGGATGTGTGTTGCTCTGTTGACATTTAGGTGCTGACATCTAGTGGGACAGCCCATCCTCCTGTTTAGGTAATACTGTACAGTACTTACTGAATTATTATAGTAACGATGAGGATTATCGTACATATACTGGTATTGATGCAAAAGCCAATTAGAAATTAGAAATTGGTACAATTGAATTTGGACAAACCAGAAAAGTTTTTGTACTGATGTTGCAAAGAAAACTTAACCTTCCCAGGTCTAATTCATGCTATCTGAGGTACTTAGCAAAAATATATATACTGTATATATATAGAACATTTTCAATATACTGTACTATATAGTACATGTATGTGCTATACTAGTCTAAGGAATATTTAAGTTTGGTTTTTAGCTTTATTTTTTTGGACTGTATAAATACTGTAGTACCAAATTCTACTATATAATTGTTTCATTACGTCTATATATTTACAATGGTCCACATAGATACAAAAAGTACTATCTAAACCGAAGGATGGGTTGAGTGGGAATTGAAGGCATCACCTAGATGGGTCAACTAGCAGTCAGCAGACTGCTGCTAGGCAGTCTCTGACACTGAGTAGCGCATGAAAGGTATTTTGTATGTGCTAGACGAATGAACACTCTGGAGGTCAATCTTTGCTGGATAATCTTCCATGTCCAAGAATGACCCATTGTGGACGATACAAAAGACCCCCCTCTATGCAAATTCAAAATGTCAACCTATCCTGGTTATGTTCGGTTCTGTCCTTGAGAAGAGCATGATATTTCATAGGAGGAGCAATTTGGGTGCAATAGGTCATAAAGGTCTTATAAGCAAGTTTCATATAATAAAAGTATTAGTTTAATTTCCATTATTACTGTATAAATTCAGAAATATAAATACTTTATTGAACAGAAAAACGTTTGGAGCCATGTTCTCTTACCTGAAACATGAATGATAGATAACTTGTCAAGGTCGTCTAGTGATACCCCACTTCGCTGCAAAAACCTCTCAGAAGACGGTACATTCTGTGAGACTGCAGAATTTCGCTCCTGGCGAATGCGAAGCAAGGTAGCAGCATTGGACTGCAAGCTATTAAGTGTCCTTACAGCATCCTAAAAATACAATTAACATACATATGGTGAACTTTTAGTATCAACAAAATATTATTTACATTTTAAATCATTTTTAACTTGGGAAATTAGAAATGAAAAATATTATGAAGTATCCGAAAGAAATAAATACTGTACAAAAATTTGCAGGAGGAACTGTTTATACAAATGGGTCAACGCATGCTATGCTTTGTAATGTACAGTGCATACATACATACATACTGTACATGAGTATTCACCCATTAAATCAACAACAAAGTAGTGTAGCCTCTGTCATTCCAATCTATGATACATTTATTTGCTACTGTACAGCACATATATAACTGAAGAATATCTTTGATTTGTATAATACGGAACAAATTACTGAAATTGACCAAAAATTATTACAAAGGAAGGATCATTAATTTTTCGTTTCCCACTGTCAGGGACTAGGCACGTGTTAGCCATTTTTTTTTTTATGAAAATCATTCAAGCCAACAAATGACCATACCCAGAATACAACCAAAATAAATTTGAATAGTCAAATTGTACACAGGTGATTTACACATACGTAGCTCATTTTCCAGGTGTTAAAAATGTATATACAGTATGATACTGTATTGTTGGGTTAGGCTGGGCTAGGAGAGATTATATTGGTTTCAATACAGGAAAAAAATCTGCTGTGAACAATCTTGGGTATGAAATGACCTATATCCACCAGGTGAATAGACACATCAGTTGTAAGGAATTTGCAGGAGAAAACCCTCATGCAAAATGCACATATCACAATGAGGGATTTAAGGCAATGTGCCCAAATGACGTGTTGCCTGGGAATTGGGCTTAGAACCAATCAAATTTAATAATAATTTAATAATTTTAATAATTTTTTTATTTAGGTAAGGTACATACATAAAGAGATTTTACAAAGTTTGTTGGCTTTAAAGATAGAGCTAGTACATACAATGCCTAAAGCCACTATTACGCAAAGCGTTTCGGGCAGGAAAAACATTAATGACTAAAGCTTAAAACTAATGGGTAAAAAGAATAAAAAGAATAAAAAGAATATAAAAAGAATATGAATAAGAAGAATATAAAAAGAATATTGTGAGCTATGCTATAAGTCTATAAATAAATAAATAAATAAATAAATAAACCACCCTCATATATAATGTGAACTATATTTTGTTCATTTACAGTATAATCCATCAGCAGGTCATTGGGTATTGTTCTTATATACACACACAGTTCTGATGGGGACAGTCTATCATACACAGGCGTTTTGACAAAGATCTTTTTTCCAAATGTTAAAGTTGAATATTGTTAGGTTAGGTTTTAAAATCTGCTGTTGAACCATTGTGGGTACAAAGTAACCTTTGTTAATTTTGGAGAACTCATTTCATACATATAACCTAAATTAAAAAACATTTAGTATTGTAATCATTTGTACAATATATATTATATAATATATATATACTGTATATATATATAATATAACATATATATGAGTTGTTACATTCTTGTACAGCCACTAGCAAGCATAAAGTTTCGGGCAGTCCTTAATCCTTAATTAATAACAATCTTTAATCCTATGTTCCCCGGAATACGACCCGCCAAATCGTTTAACAACCAGGTACCCATTTCACTGTTGGGTAAACAAGGGGCTACAGTTCAAGGATTTGCGCCCAGTAAATCCTCCCCGGCCAGGATACGAACCCGGAACAAAGCGCTCGCGAAAAGCCAGGCGAGTGTCTTCCCACTACGCCAACGGGGGACTGATAATCCTTAATCCTCCAAGAAAAACCCAAGGCCACGTGTACCTCATATTGTCGCTCCACATCACTGTGGGGGAGCCTGGAGAAGGCCCTGAGAGCATGGTGTTGGGCCATGGAGGTGGTGGTGGTGGTGGTGGTGAGGGCAGTCTTGAGCCAGCGCCACTGACAGTAAGACAGCCTCGTCAGCATCACCATCCTCCCTCCACGTGCTGCCAAACACCTGCTCCAAGGCCGCCAGCTGGCCCGCCCAGGCCTACAAACCGCACTCACAACTACCTCTGTACTTAATTTAGGATTGTCTAATACATTTATTGGCCAAACTAATAAGTAACGTTATATTTAGCTTATTCATGTGTAACTTAAACAATCAATTATCTGGCAACCGCTAAATTATTACAAACTATTTAACCGCGCTGAATCACACAGTTAGTTATTCTGTATGATGCTAAATCGTTGGCATCAAACGATTTGGCAAATCGCTGGCATATACTCGCTACAATATAAATAATTTTAGACTAAATATTTATTGTATTAATGTTATGGTATCCTATTGTTGGGAGATACATCAAGGTACAGTCTTTACGTCAATGACTTACCGACCCAGGACGCAACCCGAAAAAGTTACCAAAAGGTTGTATTTAAATGGGAACTGTCACGCTGCTCTGGAAAAAGTGCAACACAGGGCAACAAAAATCATTCCAGAGCTAAGTCAACTCTCGTATCAGGAACAACATTGCAAACCAGGCATGACAGGGCGAACTTCATTGAAACCTTTAAAATACTTAACAATTTGGAAGATGCTGATATGGACAATTTCTTCAAAATGACAGATGTGACAAACAGGGTTAACCAACCAACCTCTCATTAATCTAATGGCAGAGGCTACATTTATCTCTGAATTTCTATCACCAATACTCTTCAGATTCAGATCCATCCTCATTATCTCAATCATAGCATTTCTTGGGCATTATAAGATAAATCTCATGACTTAATTTGTACCTTCTCCAACTTGCCCATCCTACCTTTACTAAAACAAGAAATTACAGGTGCAGCATAATCAATAAGGGATCTTACAGTACTCAGGTATATCATTCGTAGCACAGGGACTTCCATTCCCTTTCGACAGCATACCAAGGCCTTCAGAGGTTGTAATCTCTTCCGAAATTGTCCCAACAGTCTGTTCATCTCGGCTTATTTTCCGTCCTGCATTATGCATCAAGTTTAGACATGTATCGTAACAAAAGTAAGAATGAAACAGAGCGTAAAATAACTCGAACTTATATATGACTTTCTAAGTGTTAAATACCATTTCCATCTGCCTCCTTAGCTCAGGGGCAGAGCACTGGTCTTGTAAACCAGGGGTCGTGAGTTCGATTCTCACAGGGGGCACAAAGTGTTTATGGGTCCTGTGTTATGGCAGTGTGGCACGACTTACAATCAAGGGTCACGGGTTTTAGTCCGGGGCCTGGGACTAGTTGAGTAAGATTTCTATTTACATTATGCTTCTGTTCACCAATTAGTAAATAGGTACCCTGGAGAAGCAACTAAAGGCTGGCTAAGTATACAGTCTTCCTATTCACAACAACGGATGTTTATATAAGAAAATAGATATACCTAGCATTCGAGACAAAATATTAACCTAACACCTATGTGAGATGGTATCCATACAAATGAGAATGAAACTCTTGTTATGTGTATTAATAATGTTGTTTATAATGAATGTTACATCATTTGTAGTATCTATTTTGCATGTTGGGGGTTTTAAATGCTTGAAGAGCTGACTTTGAATCTCAAAAAATTACTTTGCTGTTTTTCAGTGCGTTAGTGACAAGTTGTAGTGCGCTAAATCCGTATGTGTGGAGCTAAGCCAATTATTCAGTCTCACACTTGCACACTTTTGGTCTGTGTACATCTGTTGTTTTTGTATAATCTACAGGCTGCTGCAGTGCGACCTGTTGACATTTGAACAGACCCATCAGCGTAAGCATAGTGTTTATGAGGCTGTAAGTTATTGATAAAGGAATGAATAGTGTCAAGTTTTGTTGCTTTGGGGAGTGCTAAGTTTTCCTTACTTTTTTTTGCTAATGGGCGTGTAAGACACTTGTATTTCAGGGAACAGATATAATGGAATATCATTAGCTAGTTCATAGTATGCAATATGAATATTCAGTTTAATGAGTGACAACACTTCTACTAACACAAGGTTTCAGACAACATGGTGAAGTTGATGCCTTTCCCATGCTTCCAGCAAATAAAAATAATGTTAATTATCTCGGCTATCAACAGAAGTCTAACATTAAGTTTACCTGGGAGCCACCATTTCTCTAGTGACTTCGACAAGGACAGGAAGCCGCCGGCTTGTCAAAGCTCCCCTCATTTTTCCTCAGGATTTTTTCAAGCTGAATTTTTAGGTGCAATCTTGACATTCAGGGCCTCGGCGGGTAGGGGGTTCCATTGATTTATTAACCCTGTACAGGTGACAAAAATCTGTTTTCCATCCTATATTATTAAATAGCTTGAAGTCGTTATTCCCTGTATGTATTACAGTTAACCTTCCTACAGAAGGGGTCTGGATCAGCAGCCCCCAAAGTGTTCAGTAGTTTAGGTTTCGATGAGATCAGCCGTCTTCGATTTGTAGTGTTGTTAGTCCTGTGGTTCTTAACCTTTCCTGACATGAGTGGTATCAGAAGAGAAATTCCAAGTGAATTTCAAGTGAGCAAATAAGTTCAAGCAAGAATCAACAAATCATAGTTTACCATAATTAAATATTTCATATAAAGCACTTGTATAAGAATATATTAAGAAGCAATTAAGTCGAATCCAGAGCAGGACAGAAATGGTTGGGTGCGTTTTCTCGCCATTGATATGCCGTTGCTAACCTAGCAGTAATTAAATAGGTACCCAGGAGTTATAGTCAGTCTGTTCAGGATTGCATCCTGGGATGGGTCAGCAATTCGACCCTGTGAGGGGACCCTGGATCCCCAGACGGGATCACGGTGAACCCCTGTACCCAGGAGTTATAGTCAGTCTGTTCAGGATTGCATCCTGGGATGGGTCAGCAATTCGACCCTGTGAGGGGACCCTGGATCCCCAGACGGGATCACGGTGAACCCCTGACAGTTGGTGTGGGACTACACTTGCGTTTCAACTTTAGCCAACACCTATGTTGACTTCTGTGCTGCACAGGCAGGAGGTGCTGCCAATCACCGGGAAGCAGCCACGTCGCGTAAATACAGAGATCTTGATCACCACTACAATTTTGTCCCATTGCCTCAGAGACACTTGGTGCCTGGGGTAAAAGTGCTGCTAGTTTTTTTTAAGGAGCTGGGTTCCAAACTAATTGAGACAACTAGAGACCCTAGAGCCGCCAGTTTCCTCTTTCAGCGCCTTAGTGTGGCGATCCAGAGAGGAAATGCTCACTGCATCCATATGGTTCCTGCCCGCCATCTGAAGAGCTGGAGGAACTTTGCAACCTGTGACGAGTAGCCTTGTACCCGGCATGTAACAAATGTAACCAAAGTTGTAACCCTTTTTGTGTAATGAAATTTTAAATACAGGGTGTTCACTAAGAACTCTAATTGACCCGGCCAGGATTCGAACCCATGCCGTCCAGGATCACCCCCCATATACCGTATATCCGGGTAAATATACTCAGCTACAATTTTCAGTGTATATACCAAGAGTTTATTTTACTCCCTGATTATGCTCAGTACTAACCTACACATACAGGTTAATTAGTAAGCCTTGTGTGGCCTTAATAACCCTCCAGCAGTTGCGGATTTTGGGTTGTTTGAAGTTAGCGGGCGAGAGAGAGAGAGAGTAGTTGCTAGGGTGGCCAACAGATGGCAGGGGCAGTCAGCATGGCTCACGTGTGGAGGAGCCTCACCCGGCACCAAGCACTGAGGTCTGCTACACGCACACTCGCAAACATTTCCGCCCCAAAACGCCTCAAGGTTTCTGCATACATTCCAGAGGTGCGGAGAGGAATGGCTTACAGCGTCTTGGAGAAGGGGTGCCCCAACACCCTCGACTACAGGGTGTTCTTGAGTGAGTACAGCGTTATTTATGCTTATTAGTATGATCTATCGGTCCTCTCTGCAGCTGGATGCCGACACGGCGAACACCGATGCTCTAATTAGTGCTTATTTATGGTGTTCGCGGCAGATTTGGCTATCTGTTACAACAAGATGTTTCTATTTTAATTACCTTCAAGTGTACAATGTTATTGTCGGTTGATAATTGAGGGAAACACAAGTAAACAGGAATGAGGAACATACTTGCAAAGTTTGTGAGGCTTTTATTTACCTGAAAGCCACTAATACTAGAGTGGATCGAGGATGACAGGAAGTCTGCGGCTTGCCAAAGGTCTATCCATTTGTCCTGATGATTTTTTTTTCTAGTTGGATTTTAAAATTCAACCGGTTTGGCATTTACGGCTTCTGCGGGTAGGCGGTTCCATGGGTTTATAACTAGATGAAAAAGCATCTGTTTTTATATACTGTATTTCACTTCATTTTTACGTATTCCACATAATTAATATGATAATTGTAAAAGCACAAGGCCTCATAAGTTCTTGAAAAAAATGAACAAGCGTTGAAATATGAACAGATTTGAACGGCCCTTCCCTGGTATTCTTCGCGGGAAAATTGAATGGCAGCTGTGTCTAACTTGTCAAAATAATTATTATTTCCAGGTGTCTTGTATAATGGGCGGTGTGATGATCCTCAAGACTGTCATAGAAGTACACAATCCTCCACTAGCACAATAAATTAGCCACCTCCAGCGGCAACGGTACAAGTACCCAGTGTGCTTGTGCACTTGCTCGACACACTAGGCTGTCGCATAAAAATATTTACTGTATCAGAGCTACATCTCGTCTGCAAGATGATTTATCGAACTTTTGTTGCCTTATTAAGCCCTTTAACGTTTTTGGGAGGCCTACTGTCATTTATTCAGCACGCCAGAACGTTTGGGTGACGATTGTAGTCATTTTTCAACGTCATGTCGGCTAACTTTATCTCGCCTTTTTTATATTTTATTTTGCTTTTATTGCATTTTTTGAAAATACCTTCATAAAGTACAATTTTTGGCTTTAAAAGATACCAAATTTGAATACTACCATGCATAATAACTTCAAAGTATGTGTTTGAAGTCTATCGCTACGCGATTTGCTCTTCTCCCATAATTAATTTTTGTAATTAAATATTAATGCAATGATGAAGATAAGAATAAAGCCTTGGCATAAGATTC